GATTGATCAATTTGGAAACTCCAAGGTCTGCTATTTTTCGCTAGCAGACCGTTGCTAAGGAGAACAGAACGTTGCTAAGGAGGAATCTCTGATTAATGGACATCTGCTTAACTAAATTGAACAATCGTATTAAATATGACAGTGCGTTAAACCATTAAGAATAGGGAAACAAGCCAAACAAATATTTGAAACCATTGAATTACATTAAATCAAAATTGGGTTCGTAACCAAAGTTGATTTTAATATAAAACACATGCCGGGTTTCTGCATGATTCCTTGAAATTAAAGGTAAATATTGGGCGGTCGTATTTAAATCCTGACAACAACAATCAATGAGTTTTCTGAAGTGGAGAAAAAAGGTTTGTGTTGAATACGAATAAGAGTCAGATGTGTGCAAACATGACTAAGGACTTTATTAACCAAATCATTTCCCCCGTAATATCCACAAATAAAAGTGATCTCTTTATATATATTCACATTGTATAATTTCATAGTGTGACAAAAAAATTCTCTTTTTTTTTCATTTTTTTTTTTGGATTTCCAGCCATTCCTATTAATTGTCATTTGTTCAGTCGCCATGCAGTCGTCGGAAAGGTTGAAAAACATTACGCTTGGTCAGCATTGGCGCTCGTCTCCTCTGTCGGCTCCTCGTGGTGCTAAAAACTGCCAAATCACAGATTCCATCACACTGCGACAATAAAATAAAAAATAAATTAAGAAAGCAACGATCTCTTGCAGAGTCCTCCTCCTCCCTCTCCCTTCTTCTTGTTTTTTTAAAAGATATTTTCTTTTTTTAATATAATAATAATGACTATAATTGTCCTTGATATAAATTCATAGGTAATTTTTTCTCTTTCTCAAATTTTAAATAAATCATTTTGGCAATTCTCACATGTCGTCACTTTAGAATAAAAGAATACTTGAGTAGAAAATAAAAGCTGTGAGAGAAAACTGATCAGGAGAGGAGCGAAGGAGCGAGAGATGAAAAGCAACAGAGAAGAGCGAGAGAGGAAGGAAAGAAAAGAGTGAAAGAAAGAAAAGCATCCACTTCAGACGCATGTCGGAAACGGCTCTATGTACAACATGTTCTGTTGCGGTAAACTGTCTCCCTGTGTCTCTGTCTCCGTGTGCAGCAGTCCGTGTGGCCCAGTGTTATACCAGAGTGTAGGACTTGGCGTAGGGGTTGTTGCTCTGTTTCAGGTGTCCTCTGGAGTCCAGCAGGGACTCCTGGGAGGTGCTGAGCTTGGCAGCCTGTGCTTGGGCCAGGTCCCCCGAGGAGGGAGCGTCCGCCCGGACCTCCCCCCGCGCCTCCCCCCTCTCCCGGGCATCCCTGTGGGGGAGGGTGGAGGCGGTTCCTGGCTGCCACTGCTGCACCTCCCTGGGTGACGGCACTTCCATCGGGGTGGGCTCCATGGGAGGGGGCCTCTTCAGGGTGCGGCTCCTCTGGGGCTCCAGGCAGGTCTGGCCCATGGCTCCTCCTCCCACTCCTCTCGTCTCCCCCGATGCACCACTTCCTCCTCCCCCCCCCTCCTCCTCCTCCTCCTCCTCCTCCTCCTCCTCCTGCTCCTATGCTGCTGCCGCTGCTGCAGCTGACGCCTCCACCTCGAGGCGGCACGCCCCGGTTCAACAGGAAGTCCATACGAAGGTAAGGAGGCAGGTGGACCAGCTCTCCTGCTGCAGGACACAAAACAGGAGACAAAAGTTTTAAAGGGGCGCTATCCTGCTTTTTGGGGTTATCCCTTTCCTGTAGTGTTCTAGAGGTTTGTCGATGGTCTGCAAAGGCTACAATCCCTGTGTTCCCCCCAAGCCTGAAACGCCTCCATTGGACTCCTTTGTTTACTTCCGGAACATAGTGACATCACTATATAACAGTTGCGATTCTACTGGCTAGCGCTCCAACACATTGTAAGTGATAGGCTAAGGGGCAGGACATCTATAAGTGGTTGACCAATCACAAGAGAGCTAACCAATCAGAGCAGACTGGTCTCTGGTTTCAAACAGAGGGGGAAAAGAGGTGCTGCAGCAAAGGCAGTATGAGAAAAATAAAGCTTTATGAACATTAAAGCATGGAAACTGTGGAGGCACAAAAGTCTTTCAGTGAAAATTAACAGACCTCTGAATAATCTAAAATATGAAATGTCCTATTTGCACAATTTAGCAAACAACAAAAAACAAAGAGGCCTTGATACATTATTTAAAAGGCTTTGAAATAGGATTTTAAGACACATCCAATAAAGTGTGACTGCAAACAAAATATTGCCACTACAGTCTGCTGCTGTGTGATAATGGGGTCAGTTTGGACCCCTGATGATTTTCACCACTCGCCTCCACACACTCCCCGCTGTGTAAGTACGTGCTCCTAACAGCTCAGAGTTTCTCCACACACTCCATTTTATATTCCAGGGTTTAAATTAGCGGCATATATGGTTGAAAATCCATCTTTACCTCACACTCACACTAACATTTGTTCACCTCAGGGCTTTATGTGATTATGATTCACTTAACTGTTATCTGAATGTAATACCAATATCAATATCCCACCAAGAGTGAATCTATTTGACTTAATAGGAAACATGTGCAGAACATAATGTAATAGGGATCTGAATATCACATCATTCACACATTCATTTTCTGGGAATGATACAATGATTAAGTTATTGTGTTTTCTCACGGTGAAGAAGCAGAATGATGTCTATAAATCCTACAAAGAAATCTGGCATGAATTGTTAGTTATCAAATCCTTTCTCTGCAGCATGTTTGAGGGGAACAGCAGGAGATGAAGACATGGAGTCTTATCAGGAAACCTGTAGGTCAGATTGAGTATCCTAACTAGGTGATAAAGCTCGATTATAGGCGGTCTCGTCAATCTTTAAGTAATTATCTGAATTGTTGGATCAGAGGTAGTTAAAACTAGACTCTTTGATTCTGTTCAGTGACTTTATGGTTTCTACTGCTATTGTATCTATTTCACTGATGGGAAATGCTGGTGTTAAAGACTCTCTTAAAGTGTAATTATAACTAATCCTAAAGTAATGAAATGTTTTGATGATGAACAATCCCATTGGAGGGGTTTTACAACATCACTCAGACACATTTATCTGCTGAGTTGATATTATTTGAGTTATATAATTATTTATAACACGGCCTAGTTAAATACTTGATTCTGATTGATCAATTTGGAAATTCCAAGGTCTGCTATTTTTCGCTAGCAGACCGTTACTAAGGTTGGCTGGAAAAGCTTCATAAGGCTTCATCCCGCCATCACTACTGTAGATGCTCCTAAAAAATGTAATTGAGTTTCATTAATTAAATCAAGTTAAATAATATAGTACTTCCTTGTTTCCTTCACTTGTATTGCAAACTAGTTATGTATGTTTCCACAAAAGGAGCTTTCTATTTAATCGATGTTTCTTCACTACTTCATCGAGCTGTGGGAGGTCAGGTTTGAATTGTGTTGGATCACCAGTCACCCTTTCAGCGGTCTGACCCTTTGACCCCTTTCCTGTTAAACAGGTTTTTACAGGTCAAATATTGTGTTCACATTACCTTAGTTAAGATATTCTCTTTGTAAAGTAAAAGACCTGCACTCCAAATTCTAGTCATAACTTAATCCTCAAAATGAATCATAGCAACCAAACAAGAGGTCACGACAACAACTTGAATGCAGTTAAAAATAAATGAAGGTTGATATTCTTTTTTCTAAGTCGGTTTCTGTTACTGAAACATTTTCCCTGCTTAACTAAATTGAACAATCGTATTAAATATTACTTACATGGCCTAGTTAAATACTTGATTCTGATTGATCAATTTGGAAATCCCAAGGTCTGCTATGCTTCGCTAGCAGACCGTTGCTAAGGAGAACAGAACGTTGCTAAGGAGGAATATCTGATTAATGGACATCTGCAGACATATCAATCCGCAGGAGGAAGTCCGGTCAATTTAACCTCCGCTGTGGATAACAAACATTAGTTTTTATTCATCAGAAAACACCATGGAATATTTTTTTTAATACTTATTTTTATATTTTTATATTTATAGAGCACTAAACTTTGGATTCATGGTGGCTAAATCACTTAATCAATCAATCAATCAATCGATCTGTCATTTTAAGTTACGTTGCTGTCGCCGCAGTTCCAGCTGTTGGCGGGAAGCAATATGATATCATTTTTAAATCAATAAAATATCTAAAAACCAATATTGACAAGTGAAGTCGCTGGTTTATTTAGTATTCAGCTGTTTAATATTATTACTGCAAATGGAACACCGACAGGGTGAGTCCTTCTCCTGCACACTAGATCAACAAGTGTTTACAGGCCAACATGGTATCATTTAAAAATCCATTTTCAGCAGGTGTTCTCTCACCCACAGGTGCCAAAGCTTTCAAATACAGTCGACGCATGCAAAAATGTAAATACATACTGTATGAACGTGCACACTGAGCGTTAATGGCAGCCCTGACGTGCAACATGTGACCTTGGAGAATGGATTTCTGGGATCAGGAGGAGAATGAATAATTCACTGTGTTTTATAATAAGTCCTATTAGTGCCAGAGAAGATGATGAATGGCTCAGGGTGTTAACTGAATTAAATATAGATTTAAGTGTTTCTGTAGGAGCTCATTAGAAATGTAGTTTGGAAATTCATCAGCCAGTAAATTACAGATTGCACAGTTAATGGGACAGACAGTATGTGTAACAGGAATGCAACATTTCGCCAAGCCATTAATCTGTTTAAGTGTTCGTTGCATCTTCAGCTGTAGTGATGTTTGATTGTTTGTTTTTATATTTCTATACTGTGTGCTTTATTAGTAATCAAATATTCTCCTGATGTTTGAATCTATCTGACAAGCTAACTATAGCTCTGTAATAACCAGCACAAGTTGAAGAGCTGACATGCAAGCTGTAATGGGATCCAATAGATTTGTTTCTATTAAGAGCCGAAGAGGAATTAATAAATAAACTCTCATAGCAGGTTTGTCAGGTGAGGCTGGTCACATGAAACGAGAAGAGAGGGACGGCGATAATCGAGAAGCTGCCGGTGACCTCTCTGATGGAGGTGAGGTCGTCAGGTGTAACTGAGACAGAGACGGGGTTGAAGCCGGGTCATGAACCTCCAGAAAGTCAAACTTCCATACACTGTGTTACAGACATATATGCTGTGCTCTGTAGTTTAATGGACTACAAGCCGGTGGAAGAACAATCTAGTTATCATTTTTATTATGACACTTAGTCACTTTTACATTTTAAGACACCTTATTTTTGTGTATTGTGGGTGAACTGTATGTTGTGCTTTTTTCCTTTTATCCATTTCACTGTAATCTTTTTAAAATGTTTGATTATGTAATATGAAAAGTATCAAAAAGTTGATAACCACACTTTTTCCCTTATACTATTTTATTTTATTTAGTTTTCAGATATCTTTTAATACCAATTGTAATACGTCTGTTAAAAATAATAAAATGAATGCTGGCTGAATAAGCTGTTTCTTTTGTTGATGTACGAACAACAGTAGTTATTATTTAATTTAATTATTAATTGGCCAGGTCCTTATTAGGAAATATGTTGTGGATATATAATCCATGATTTTGAAATAAGGTGTAATAATGGCGTACTAGTTGTGTTTTGATGTATTTATTTGTGTAATTTAGAGTTAAAATGGAGGAAATAGTTAACAAGAAATTAACCGCCAACCTTTTCATATGCAAATTCGTACAATGACGATGAATATTGGTAAAAGCAGCTACTTATAGTACAAAGGCTTATTATGTTTTAAGCCCTTTGAGATCCTGTGATTAAATGAGAACTTGTAAATCCAGCAGTCCCTTATTGTAACCGGGTACTTAAACATTATCAGAGTTGCTGCAGGCCTCTTAGAAAAACACATTCCCATAATTTTACACTTCATTGACTGTGGAGTCTGTGGAGTCAGTTGAAACACGTTTCACAGAGCTAAGAAAGCTTAAACTGCTGGCTGTGTGCGAGCAGCCGGTCGGCTTAAAAAAACACATCAACAATGTTTTTGATAAATAATTTCACTGTCAGGAAGCTGGACACAGGTCTGCACTTCAAGTCTATATAATATTTCTAATTTAAGTTTTGAGAGACACCAATTTGGCCATAGATAGCTAGATATAATTAATAGAAATAGCTAAAATCTCTAGCTAGCTTTTTAGATAGGTAGCTAATGAAAGCAAGCTAACTAGATAGATATATAGAGAATGTTATCTAGGTATCTTGTTTATTAGAAACCTTACGTTAGCTAGTTAGTTTGATAGATAGCTTATGTTTGCTAGCCAGCTTGTTAGTTAGATAGCCAACATTAGCTAGTTAGCTAGATAGCTAACATTTGCTAGTTTCATAGATAGCTAACATTCGCTAGTTTCATAGCTAAAAAGCATGGTCACAGGTTAATTGAATTTGTTCTCTAGGTCAACTAATTTGAGTATATGTCAACACAGTGTCTACCCTACTGGCAGTGAGAGTTATTATAAAACTGTTGACATGAGCTACAGTAGGGAATATGACCTTGTTGTTTACAATGCTGCTAATGCTAAACCGGAAAAACTGACACTTATTCGATTGAAGAAAGGATTGGGAAAAGGTGCGAGGCTACATACTGTAAGGTGAATAAGAGTGCATTTTTTGCGACACATCTCTCGACAAGCAAGCAGGGAACTGTAGAAGCACAGCTTGAGTCTTCTGCCTCTAACATTTCCCCCCCAAAAGTAACTGATACCAGAGTCTAGCACTCAGCAACACCACCCCAGCCTAACAGTGTGTCATTACACTGAACTCCACTGTGGCGGTTAAGTGTTTTTTTGTACTGAGTGACAATAGCTGCAGATAAGATTGACAGATAGCCTTCAGTTGCCCTCTCTCCTGTGTGAACTGGTGACAAGTGTCTGCTGCTCTGTGCACAAACATAATGAGGCCTGAAACTTAAGGAGAAGATCTGATGGGCTCATCTGCTCTAACAGAGAGACCGGCAAGGTGTTAGCTTAACACCTAGGTTTAAAAATGTAATCCGTAATACTAGTTACCTGTAAAATAAATCAGTAACCTGTATGGGATTTTTGTATCCTGAATACGTAATCCTGTTACACACAAACACACGGACCTATTTTTCTGGTCCAACAACCCTAGTAGCCCTAGACACTAAAACATGACAGCAGACAGGTTGATGGATGAGCTGTGTTCACGTGTGTGTCTGTTTGGACGTCTGAGCTCCAGTGTGTGGTCTGCAGCTTTGCCAGAACTCGTAATTGATCTGCAGCGCTGCCCCGAGGAGCAGAGGGTCAAGTAAGGTAAGAACACCGCCTGAGAGGAGGACGCAGGACACACTGCAGATGTGTGTGAGAGACTTTGGAGACAAAGCCTTTAAGTAGTTTGAAAGTAACATCATTTACCAGCAAGTTTCTTCTTGCAGTGAAAGGCATTCTTGGGGGCGAGTGGATGTTTAATTGTTTGCTTGCTGTCATTTTATGTGTTTCACTTTGAATAGCCTTGTGATGAAAATTGCTTTATAGATAAGCTTTATTTGCCTTACCGACATGCTGACTGCAGTGTGGTTTGAACCTGTGACCCCCTTATCCCAACACCAAGGCTCTATCCACGGCACCACACGCCTCCCTAAATAAAGTTTGATGTCATCCAAAACTCTGCAGCTCGGTTGTTAACTAGAACTAAGAGGACACATTACTCCAGTTCTAGCCGCTCGGCACTGGCTTCCTCTTTACTTTAAGATTCATTTTAAGGTTCTCCTCCTGGCATATAAGGCCCTTAATGGGCAAGGTCCAAGCTATATTATGAACTCCCTTGTAAGCTACAATGCTATTTTGTAGTTAGTTTTTATGTTTTTAATGGTTAACTGGAAATATCTATGTGAAGCACCTTGAACTGCACTTATTGTATGAAAGGTGCTATACAAACAAAGATTATTATTATTATTATTATTATAATTTAGGTAGACCTCCTCACCAGGTCTGTGGGCCTTGGGCACGGCCATGGTCATGACCCGACTGACGTCCTGAGGTTTGGGCGGCGAGGCGGTGAAGCGGCAGATGCCGGACTCGGACGGCGTGCTGGAGGCCACGCTGTCGGTGTAGTCGTTGGTCCCTGCTGTCATCTGCTCGGAGGAAGTGTCGGAGATGAAGCACTCGGTGATGGTGAACTTGGCGTGGCGGAGCTGCTCCTCCATCTTGGCGTGCTCGTAGGCTCTGGCAAGCTCCTCGTAGGTGGAGGACGCACTCTCTGTGGAAACCATGCTGCTCCTCGCACGATCTGAGGAACACACACGGGACAGTACAGCTTACAAAGAAGAAATACAATCTGATCCTTTTACAACCAACACTATATGCTCAATCAATCAACCACAGTTGATCTATACAGCCCAAATTTGACATTTGTCTCAGGGGGCTTTGCAGTTTGAAAATAATATGAATACGACACCTTCTGTCCTTAGACCCACATATCGGACAAGGAAAAACGTCCAACAAAACCCCACAGTTAAAGGTAGGGTAGGTAAGAATGGAGAAACCAGCTCGAAAGCAGCCGGAAAAAATCTGCCCCTTCCTTCAGACTTCCTTACAGAGCCCCTCCTCCAACACACACGAACGCGCACATGACCAATGAGGGCACGAGATAAGTTTGTGCCCAGATGGAAGGCTGACAGGCAGGTAGGCCATCCAGTTACTTTAGCCGGGCCGGCTAAAATGATTGGTCGTGCTTTTTACAGCACTACAGCTTCCACAGATGAATTGTTTTAATGTATTTGTTGTCAAAGCATTTAAGATATTCATTGCTATCGGGATGTTAAGAGCATTCCATGGAATATAACAAAAAGTGTTTCTGAAGGGAATTACCTACCCCGCCTTTAATGGGGAAAAATGGAAGAAACCTACGAGGGACCCCTCTTCCAGGATGGACAATACATGTTGTGTGTAAATTAAAAAGACAATACATTTACAACATAGAGTGTCAATATATAAGGTGAAGATGAAAATGGATCCAGGTGGATGTCAACAATCCTGTGCTCTTTTTAGTTTTTTAGTCACATTGTAATCCTGCTACCAATCCTCAATGGTTAGAAATGTAACCTGATTACCTGTGTCCTGTGAGGGGCTGACGCTGTAGCTGTCGCTCTCCTTGTCCACGGACCCGGTGGCTCGGGGCGTCGGCAGCCTCCAGTCGGTGGTCAGCGTGTGGGAGGAGCTGGTGGGGTGTGGCCGGTTCAGCGTCCACTGGCTGGCGTATCGGCTCCGCGTCGCGGCAGGACCGGCTTTGGCAGTGCGTCTGGCAGTGGGGTCTGCAGAGGAGGGAACAGAGAGCATCATTAGTGACAGAGATAATGACAGATACTCCATGTTTAAATATTATGATTATTCATTATGATTTATGAATAAAAGGTCAATTCGGATTATTTTGACTGATAATGCAATGTGGATATGATACATTACTTATTTTTATTTGAATTCAGAATTTATTAAAAGATCATGGTGTGAATTTATTTACCAAAGATCTGTAATAAACTTTGACCAACTGGCCACTAACCAGACTTTCCTGTATCTCAACAATACAATTGTAGGATGGGCGACCTCTGCAACACCATAATACTTAATTCTGAAAGATATATTTTTTATTTTATCCGATTATTTGACAGGGACAGCGCAGATTAATAGACATTTCTGTCATTGTGCCAGAGTTAGAAAATAGCTATTGTTCATCTGTTTCCCCTGGACAGATGTTGTAAAGTCGTCACCCTAAAAACAAATTCTATTTTTTAATAATAAGTTTATACAATCAGTAAAAACATGCAACATCACAATATAGGAAATGCTAATAACTAAAAAACATAAATATGTCATAGCAAGAAGATAGCAACCGGTTAAAGCGGTACAGACAGAAAGAGGACTGCAATATTTGTTTGAGAAATGATTCCTTTAAGAAATATTTCGCTTCTTGTAATTTCAATATTGTAGTAGTCCGTTTTGCGATTTTAAATAAATCATTTGAACTACTCGTTTAATCAGGGACTCCAGCTTCTGATCTGTGAATACATTTGTTTTAGTGCTTGAATGAAACAGTAACTCCTTATTCTGTTCATACATCAGTGTTTACTGAGAGAGTATAGCTGCTGTGCTGTGGTACAGATTTACAGTTCATCCTTTCACTGAATAGGACCATCCCTCAGCTCCCTGCAGTGACATTACCGTCCATCTTAACATCTCACTGTCTCCGTATAGACATATAAATAGTATCATATTCAGCCTGACCCAGACAGGCGGCTGCTCTGTGCAGCGACGGGCCAAATAGATCCAGACCCTTTAGAAAAGGCTGGGACTGGATCTGTGCAGAGAAGAATGGTGCTGGTAACTGTAGGAGGTCACTCAGTAATCAGCATGATGGAGGGAGGAAGTGATGGAGGCATCTGGCCATCAGCAGTCAGCACACTGGGTTCATACCCCACTGGCCAGGCTATACAAAACAATCACTATATTGTGTTGTAATGCATGTGTGTGTGTGTGTGTGTGTGTGTGTGTGTGTGTGTGTGTGTGTGTGTGTGTGTGTGTGTGACTGTGTGTGTGTGTGTGTGTGTGTGTGACTGTGTGTGTGGCATCGTATTGGAAAAAGGAAAAAAATGTAAATACAAAAACGCTGCAAATACATAGTGTTGCAAGCAGCTCAAAACACAACGGAAAACAGGGGACACTTCAAAGTGATGCACACAGCTGGGACTGGTGGCTTGTTGACGCTCTGGCCAAGTTGGCCACTTGTCACTGTTGTTGGAAACTTACCTGAAATGTAAGTTTTATCGGATTATTTGAACAATTTGATCACATGATTCCTTACGATATTAGGTTAGCTAACCCTGAACGTCGCCAAGCGCACCGGTCCCAGCTATATGCATCACTTTTTGTCCCCTGGTTTCCGTTTCTTGCAGCGCTTTTAGTCAATGCTGCGGATGTTTCGTCAAGTTGGCGAAGATGTTTTTTTCATTTGCATGTGTTTCGGCACATTTGTGTTTTTATATTTACATCATTTTCTGAATCTGAAACATTCTTCTCCTAATGTAAGTGTTATGGGACGTTTGCACCTGTCAGCCAACGTACTGATGACCTGATATGTTTGCTTACTGTTGGTGGTGGCTGTTAAAAAACAGACCTAAAAAGCTTGGCATGTCAATAAAAAAGGCTCCTTTTTGGCTGATTGTTGAAGGGGTTTGCAACTTTACTTTAAAAGTAATGTTTAACATTCAGTAAGCAAAAGATAACCTGGTATTTGTCTCAGCCAATATGTAGGGGGAAATCTACTTTCTGCACTGTCTGCACAAAATAATTTCATTGCACTACTAATCTGTGTGTGTGTGTGTGTGTGTGTGTGTGTGTGTGTGTGTGTGTGTGTGTGTGTGTGTGTGTGTGTGTGTGTGTGTGTGTGTGTGTGTGTGTGTGTGTGTGTGTGTGTGTGGTGTGTGTGTGTGTGTGTGTGCGTGCCAGCTGGCCAGGTGGAGCAGGGCATTCAGGTGAGGACGTGTCAAGAAGAGGCAGAGAGGTTGCTACTCTTCATCTGTTCTGCTTCAGTGCAGCTCGAGCAGCAGAAGCCCAGAGGCGTTTCTGCAGAGCGGCTGCTGTGTCTCCAGAAATCTCTCTTGATACACTAAGTTAAGGCTTGTTAGAAAAACTCTATCTCTCATGTAGTTCAGATAAATGTGCAATAAAATGCCATGGGTGCTGAGAAACTTTTCTTAATCAAACAAAAAGACCACAAACATTTCCAACATTATGTTAGTAGCACAACAGTGGTATTGGTGTTAGTAGTAAAGTAATAAATGTTGGGCACTGACGGTGGTGGGACTCACTGGTTCCGGGCCTGGCGTCGGACACGTCCACCAGCGGCCCGGTGGCCTGGGACAGAGACTGGTAGTGGACCGTGTGCGTCACCGTGGACGACTTCTGCTTGTTCGTATCCCCGAAGTCATTGTCTGTCAACAGCACAGTGGACCTGTCATCTGAGACACACAGAGAAGAGGTTAGGAGAAGGAACAACAGGAAGTAAAGCAGAAAACACAAAACGTCAACATCATAACCTAACCGTGAACTTTCTAACTCAGCACTATCCTACTCACATACTTCACTGTATTCAATATGCATTACAACTCATATAATAATTAAACCCTGCACCTTCCGGTTTGGTTGAATACTCAATTCTGTATGGTCAATTTACGAACATTCTGTGGTCTGCTATTTTTCACTAGCAGACCGTTGCTAAGGAGGATGCTCTGATCAATGTGCAGTCATATCAATCTGCAGAAAGACTTCAACTAATTTGATCGTTTGCTGACAAATATATTCGTTTTTATGTATCAGAAAACACTGTGAAATACCTTTTATACATTTATTTTTATATTTGTGGGGAGCAGGAAACTTTGGCTGGATGTCAGAGAAATCTACAGAAGATGACAAACAGGAAGTAAAAGTTTAAGCGAACAGCAGGAGAAGACAGACAGGAAGTAAACACTAAAGGGAACATGGTATGGGCTCTGGCAGTGTTTAAAGACTGATTCATGGAAAATAAAGTATCTACTGTAACATTAGTTACTCTTTGAACTTTCTGGTTTTGTCGTGCTTGTACTATACTACAGTATGTGCAATAACAATAAAGTGTCATCTAATTGAATCATAAGCATTAATAATATGGTACCCGATGCACATTATTTGTCAGGCTCTTACCGATTGTCTCCATGGTGTCCCGCTCCTCGATGAGCAGCTGGGCTCGGGGGATGTCGATGTGCATCCGTAACGTCTGCTGCTGCTTGTTCACCGTGTCTGGAGTGCGAGTGTTCTTGCTGAGGAGATTAATGAGAACATTTCATTACTTTTCAGCTGTGTTATTCTGCATTGTGTCGCAGAAATGCTAATTAAATTCCATTTAAGTTGATAAGGAGCTGTGAGAAGGCAAGAGGGACAGCGTACCCTGAGTGCTGGATATTAGATATGTACAGATAGGTACTGTAATTCCGGGCTACATTGTGATTTATGTTCAACCCCTTAAAGAAAAACAGCGGGCATACATTAAAATTAAGCATACGTACCTCATCAGCATTTCTGCCAGGCTCTTGGCATCTGTGAAGTCAGCAAAGAGTTAGTGAATACCATAATAGTACTGTCCTTGTTGATAAGCTACAGCGGTGGAAATAATGTACAATCACAATTCAGCTTAGAAAAAGGCAACGAAGGCATGTTGAAGAGAAAATGAACAGGGAGGAGTTTGACCTGAACACAAAACTGCTGAAGTCTCTTGCATACTGAAGAAAAGTTTAGCCTCTCTTTTGGTTTGAAAAGTGGCGAGCCGTGACTTTTATACCTAGGCCCTCTGACCCCCACCCCTTCCCTCGAAAAAATTGTTATTACGTCACAGCGTATACTTCAGCGGAATATCAAAACAACGGCCCGGGGTGCAAAATCAATGAAAGCGACCCTCAACACACAACACAACACCTGTAAATAACCCAATTTGTGTTCTTTGAAATTGAAAAGGATATTGCATTGTGTTTGTTACTTTCGTTGCAGTTGTATGTCTTAAGTGTAATTTGGCATGCTTTTATTTTGAAAGCGAGTTTACGCTGTTGACAGGAAGTTGTTGTTGCTATGGAAACAAGAAAAGTTTCACAGCGGGCGGAACTTGTCATAAAGTCCGCGATAATAACACCCACCCATTTAGAGGGAAGATATGATTGGTCAAGCGTACTGTCATTTGACATTACTCTCTCGTTCAGTTACTACAGCTGGCCCTCTGTGAATTCACAGCTGGACCACCAATCAGCTCCTCTCTTCACCTCGCAGAGACCAGCTTCTTTCATTTAACCCTTCACATTCCAACAGAAACTGAACAGGCAGATTCGAAGGATTTATTTCTTTGGAAAAGTTATTTTAAATACAATTAAATCAAGTTATTTTGGTAAAACTAATGAAAAATATAACTAACAAAATATTTTAAAAATATATATTATTATTCTGGCTGTGATGCAGCACCTGTTTTCTTTTTGTTACTCAAAGTGAATTTTTCAGTTTTCTCATACAATATAATATGTACTTTGATCTTGGACCCACCTCTGAGCCTCTTGAGCCTCTGCTCCCTCCGCCTCCTCTTCAGCACCATGAGCATGATGAAGACGAGCACGGCCACCACCAGGACAGACGTGAGGGTGACCACCATCTTCAGACTGCCGCTGCCCGACATGTTGTCTGAGATGGGGTCTCCTGTTTTCAGCAGGGGGGGGATGGTACCTGGGAAATAAATATATAATCAGACATTCATGAGGAGACTCCAACAGCATCTTCATCATCTGGAGTTTATTCTTCTTTTTGTCTACTTGGAAGATATGGTGTGACATAGTATTTATTTTATGTGCAACATTTGTTCAGATCTAATGCTTTGCTTATTCTATGCAACACCAAATACTATTATGCATGCATCACCATAAACACTGTTAAAACAACTGTAAGTCAAACATATTTAAAGGGAGAAACATCCTTAATGCAATGATTTGATTTTCCACACTCATGATTTTAATGTGCAGAAGGAGGAAATCCCTCAGGCTGTATTTCTTCTAGTTGGTGTACACAATTAAAGAAGCAGCTGTTGCTGCAGTAAACATATTAAAAAAGTATTTCAGTTATTTGATTTGCCACTAACTGAAGTGTTAGTAGGCATCTACAGTATGCATTGATTTTACGCTGTGTTAATGGTAGGAATGGCAAATACACTCCATACAGTACAGAAGGATAATGTTTTAAGTACTGAAGTTCAATTTTGAAGTACTTGTTGTTTTACTTTCTATTTCTATTGAATGCTACTCTAAACTTCTACTCCACTGCATTTTAGCAGACAATATTGTACTTTTTACTCCACTACATTAATCTGACAGCTTTTTACAGATTCAGATTATTAGCTAATACAAAATATAAATCAACAATAAACATATTATTATAAATTCAGATATCCAGCAGCAGTTTATAAAGTGAATAACATTTGCTCCACCTTTACCAGCTGTGATGTCATAATCGAGTCATTTCATATATATACTGTATGATATTGATATGTGCGTTTAGGCGTACTCTGATTTGAGGTACTTCAGTCATGAAGACCATTAAATACAAATGTTACATAACTATGGTTTATCTATTATATGTAAAAGTCCTGGATTCAAAATGTTACTTCAGTAGCCGTACAGAAGAATGAATTTCACTTTGCAATGTTTTTCTTTAACCTAAGATATTATAGAAAAGAAAAGACTGTGGCTAATCAAAGCATGGGCACCGGGTTTAGAGGCTGCTTATAGTCTGCTGGGATAAACTATGAGCATCTCTCCACACACACACACACACACACACACACACACACACACACACACACACACACACACACACACACACACACACACACACACACACACACACACACACACACACACACACACACACACACACACACACACACACACACACACACACACACACACACACACACACACACACACACACACACACACACACACACACACACACACACACACACACACACACACACACACACAGCTTACTCGTCACAGCAAAACCCTTCAAAGGAAATGAAAGAATAGTGTGGAGTGTACCACAGAGCTCTCCTTACAGCTTAGACACTCCCTTTGTGTGTCTGACACAATCTGCAGACACACACAGCCGCACACTGGCCGTGGAGAATCTGAAGACTGTCCCTGTTTTCTTACTCAGCTTATCGACACAATACCTGTCAATCTGCTCAAAGGCTGGCAAAACTCTCCTAACAACAAATAATTTCAAAGCCCACACTGAAGGCAGAGTGGCACTTCATGTTGAACAGTTGCATTAATGGCGCTGTTCGAGTCATAACAAAGCTAATGCGAAATAAGAGCGCAAATTAAAGCGCAAACTAAGAAACTCTTTTCCTTGTTTTTATACTTTTTTCTTGCATCATATCATTCCTGTTATTTTTGGATTTTTGATTTGATGTGATTTATTTCGAACGTGTAAAACAATAATAACAAATTATAATAATGAAATGAAACATGAGAATTCTGATACAAACTTAAGCAGTATCAAATTGATAAACAAAAATATTATTGACTTACAAATGATATATAAACAAATGATCTACCTAATTACACATCTGAAAAGGGGTGGGAAGAAGTTTACACTTAATTTAATCCCACCCCTTCTCCCAAAAACAAAATTATTAACATATATATATATTTTTTCTTTTAACAAAATGTAACCCTAACCCTATATTTACGATTATAAATAGATCATATTATTATCGTTATGAGTTAACTAACTAGACAGATACATTCGGCCTTTCATTAAACATTCTGAAATGACCCTGAGTTTTACCCCCCTGAGTTGCTACTTAAACTTCTCCTCCACAGTGATCCTGGTAATCAGTGCAGCTCTGTGACAATCTGTTTAATCCAAACTCACTCCCATCAGCGTTGAGAGTAGCAAAGGTGATCCTCTTTTCCGCTGAGCCGGCGCTGTTGGTGACCTTCATCTGCAGCTCGTACCAGGTGGCCTCCTGCAGGTCGTACAGGACGTAGCTCTTGGTGAGCGAGGTGCGCTGCGCCGTGGTCCAGGTGGCCAGGTCCACGGCGCGGTACTCCAGGATGAAGGAGGTGATCGGACAGCCGCCGTTGTTCCAGCCCACCAGATTGAGCCGGGCCCGGGTGGAGTTAATGCTGGTGAAGAGTTCATGATCTTTGGCAAACTGCGGCTCTGAGGAGGAGATAGAGACAGTGTTATAGTGAGCTTTTATTTGATATAGAAGTGCTCTGTTAGATTGGTGCAGTAATGAGTCATGAAACCCTGAAATGACTCAGTATTTACCACTTCCTGTTCCCAGGTCTTGAAGTCAATGGAGTGTCACAGTGACGCATCCTAAAACCCGGAAGTAAGCTGCGCATGGGTTCCTTCGACAAAAAAGCAATGCAATTTCTCCATAGGATCATACATCTATCGAATAGATTTATGATTTGAAAATGATAAAAGTAGGGTAGACATGTGGAGATTATCGGACTGAACAAAACGTGATCCGTCTCTTAAATTACTGAAAATTACTCTTAAAACTGAAAACTCATCTCTTTCGACTCCACTTCGAGCGTTAGAACGATTAACGAAGCACTTTTATACCAATAAAGGACTGGATTACCTAAAGCCAGTTGAGTAGCACTTGAAATGTTTGGCTCTATGAAACCTGATATACTTATATGATTCTGTTTTCTTCAAGGTTGTGTCTTCCTGGTCGAATGTACTTATTGTAAGTCGCTTTGGACAAAAGCGTCAGCTAAATGCAATGTAATGTAATGTAATGTTAAATGTGTCTCAACCACAGACCTTATTTCGAGCTATTTTCCAAAGTCCTGTGGAGAAATTGCATTGCTTTTTTGTCGAAGGAACCCATGCGCAGCTTACTTCCGGGTTTTAGGACGCGTCACTGTGGCACTCTATGGCTTTTTGAATGTGTTTTTGTTTACCCTGAAATAAGGTCTGTGCTGAAGACATTTAACGTTTTGTTCTACGACGTAAAATACGTCAGTAAATACCCCACTGGTGGATTTTAAAACGACGGTTGCTAACAAGTGTCACGCCCAATATAACCCTCTATGGGTCACACTGATGTCTGTCTCCAGGACCATTTTTTTGTAGCTGTGAAAACTCCACATTCCTACTAACCTCCTGGATTAAGTGGATTTGGAACGTTCCACCACCGACAAGAGGAACAAGCCACTTGTAAAAGATGATCATCATTTCATAGTTTAAGATCAAACTTTTGCAAAATGTCTCAGTGGACCAAAATAAAGCTGTTTGTGGCCATAAAGAGAGTCACAAATAAATGAATAGTAGCAAGAAGGAATGTGTGTTGGAGAGGGAAATAACATTTTCCCTCCTGAAATGTGCCACTATTTATTGGGTTTTAAAAGTCTTTGAGTTATGAGTTTTTAGGATCAATAAAAACTGTCAATACGATTTCTGTGCCTGAGAAAAGAAAATATTCCCTCACAGACTTTTATCTGTAATTTGAGAAAATTGCAATATATGTTTGCATGACTCCCATGAATGAATGGATTTAGATGTAATCACAGCTCTGCATTGAGACAAATTCATCTCCCTACCTTTCCCATGGGTCTTTGCTTCAATGATCTCACTGATGTGCCCCGGCCCCACTGCATTCTGGGCCGTCAGGGTGAATTTATACCAGGTGCCGCACTTCAGGTTCTCCAGGCGGTACGAGCGCTCGCTGGGGCTGATGGGAAAACTGCCCCACTGCTCGCTGTTGTCCTCTGAGTACTGCAGGATGTAGCCTGGGACAGAACATTTGAATGTCATTATACAGGAAAGCATACTAAAAGGTGTAGTCCGGGTTGTATCATTATTTTTCTACTTGTCTGTGCCTGTTAGTTTTTATCTTAGCTTTTATGTCTGGTGTGTGCTTATGGGTTTGTTTAAATATGCTTTTAATTGTGCTGTAATTTAGCTTCAATTGTGCTTATGTGTTTGATTTGTTTGGTGTGGTTTCCATTAGATGTTGTCTTTGTTTACCTCAAAGAATTGAATGAAAGTAGGATGGTATCTTTTTAAAGGGACTATATAATGCTACATACAGTACAAATACAAACACTTTTATAACACACTACAGGAAAGGGCAAACCCCAAAAAGCACCATTGGGCTTCTTAAATGCCATCAACCTGCAGTTCAAAATAACCTTTATAGTTCAATCTGGCACATTTACAAGATGGACTCAAGGCTCATGTTTATTCATATGCATTGTCCCTTCTTATATAAACAAATGTAAATAATTGCAGAAGTCTATTATTGCCTCTGCAGATACTTCTTTATGAATGCATGTATCATTTTGATTTCAATGTGAGACATTTAGTTTAGACTAAAGTGAGACTAAGAACAAGAATACAAATCTGTAGCCACTGCGAAACTGTAATTCAGCAGGATATAAAAGTGTTGGCTGTAAAATGGAGAGATAACTTTGCTATTCTTAGATCCTGTGGGAGTCACCAAGGAACATGTATTATTGCCTTAATATATGAGTGTGTTTCATGACTCTAAAACATACTGATCATGTATCATTCTTATGGTAGAAGATGTTATAGTATTCAGTTTGCTAATGGCTTTCTGGAGCTTGGCAACAAATATGACTTGCATGTACTATGTCTGACAAACATGAATTTCCCTCCATCAGAAAACACAGTGGAATACTTTTTTAATATTTATTTTTGATATTTGTGGAGAAGCTTTTGATTCATGATGGCTGAACTGTCCCCAGTAAAGAAAAGACAGATCGAACAAGAGAAGGAGAGAGGTCAGAGAAATCACAAGAAGAAGACAGGCAGGAAGTAAACACTAACGGGAACAACAGAAGAAGACCGACTATAAGACAGAACGGACTATCTTTTCAGAAGCAACACGATCACTTTTAAATCAATATTGTGAGTCAAGTCGTTGGTTATTTAGTATGAAGAGGTGACAGACTGATCACCCTGTTGGTGTTTTGTTTTTTTCATTATTGACCAAGCACATTATCCCTTACTTAGTTTTACGACCAAAGTTTTGGACCAGCATTGCCTTCCCTACAAGCCCGGCTATAAATAGACGCTGTGTAGGCGTAGGTGTATTTATTTTGTTGATGGATGACGCTGTGAGCAGGGAAGCAAAACAAATATCACACAGAAGGCTTCATGAAGAGCTTGCACAGTGAGTGCAGCTCTAACACACCAGCAGATGTGATAAATCACCACAAATAGTCTGTGTGATTGCGCTTTCTTTAAGATGGAGCGCTTTAATCTCTCCCTTAAACAGACCAAATCTTCCCTGCTGCTTTTTAATCTACCTTTTAGCAATTGAGTATTCTGCTCCAACCACCACGTAATGAGAAACAGGATGTTAGACCAGAGGAAAGGAGGGGGGGGGGGCACTGGGAGCTGAAGGGAGGTGATTGTTTGTATATAAAGGATAATGCATGTCGGAGAAGCACGTTTGTGTACTTGTACATCACATTAGGTTGTGATTAAATTGTTAACTGCAATGATAGATGACAGTGAGTTTCCTAAAAGTAGAATGTCCTCAGAATACTACATGCAAGTGAAAGTCCTCCAAGTACAGAAGTATTACCTTCAAAATGTACCTAAAGGAGAAAAGGACTCGGTATGCAGGATGGCTCTTTTTAAGTATTATCGTATTACATGATAATATTATTCTGTTTCATTACTGAACAATTGAGGGAATTTTTATTTAATAGTTTGTCAATGCAATATACACTTATATGTACAGTGGCCGGACAGGTGCAAACCACAAGAACTCAAACATTTTCCATTAGGAGAAACGTGCTGCCGTTTCAGAAACAATGCAAATATAAAAACAAGGAGCTTAGATCACAACGCAAACCAGGGGACACTAAAAAGTGACGCACACAGCTGGGACCGGAGAGCTTGTTGACGTTCGGGATTATTGAATTGTTTACATATAAACTGTCACCGTTGTTGGAAACCTACTTAAAATGTTTGAACAGCTTATTTTAAAGGTCACCTATCATGCTATTTTTAGGCCATAGCATAGGTCTCAGATATATAAAAACATATAAGAAACATGTCTATGTAGTGTTTTGCTCAAAATACCAAACAGATCACCCATTCTAGTCATGCCTCATATCCCTCTATTTCACTTCCTGTTTCAAAAGGAGGGGGCTGAGCTCATGTGGGAGCCCGGCAGCTACTGTCTAAACTAAATACTGCCGTGATGAAACGCCATATCATGGATTATCAAGGATTCTTTCTGAAACAGTCTGGAGCTCAAAGGCTTTCTCTCTTGCCGGATACACCACAAGGTGAGTTCCTTTTTATTTCCTGCTTCTTCACACACATGCTCTCCAGCACAGGTTAGCTCTGAGTGTTAGCGATGCTAATGTAAACACCGACCATATTACGTCCAAAACAGTCGGGCATTGTTTCTGATAGCAACGTTTCTGATAAAGCCAGCCTACATTTCCGATATCGGACGCAAATCTGGATCAGCTCCGTTGTAGCCCCGTTTTTAGAGATTTGGGTATAGAGGAAAAGAGTGAGGGTTTTATTTTCTGACGCTGCGTGAGTTCCCCGACACACCGGGGACACATATTTATGTATAAAAGACATCAAAAAGTGCATTTTGCATGATAGGAGACCTTTAACAATGGATCACACGATTCATTTTGATGTTATGGAAGATCTGCTGTAAGCTAACTAGCTAACGTTGCTAACCTATTCATTTCAAATATACTGACATAACATTTACAATTATGAAACAGACTAACTCTACCAAACTATCTCTATGTGTCTCTCACCTCTGATGGAGCTTCCTCCGTTGTCTCCAGGTATCCATGACAACGTGATTGATGTGGTGGTTGTCTTGGTAACAGTGAGGCGTGGCTGGTCAGGAGGCACTGAGGAAAAACAAAGATAACTTCTTGGTTAAAATTCAGATTTAAACCGCCTCATTTTTCTGCTTTTCTATCCATAACAAACAATATGGTGAGTACAGTTTGGAAACACACGTGACATTTGTTAAGGCTGTTTGTTCACTGTGTTTTATTTTTACTTTAGGTAGCTAAATTAATGTTTGGGGGGCAGAAAACCTTTGTGCTCTGAAGCCTTTGGGGCCAACAAATATAATTGAATACAGTAAAACAGGTTATTAATGTCTCCTGGATGTGCGCTCTACTTGCCTTGGACCTGCAGGTTGAGTGTGATCTCGTCGGATCCCCAGTTGTTGCTGGCAACGCAGCTGTAGTTCCCAGAATCCTCTGCTTTCACCGTGCGGATGATGAAGCTGCCGTTGCCATGGACACTACGGCGACCATCCACAAGGACGAGTGTGGGAGTGCCGTTAGTGCTGGAGACAGAGATTATTAATGTACGTGGTTACCAAAGGTCTTTTCTTTATTTTATTATTTGTTGATAACGTTTGATATTAAACTCGTTTTTTTATTTATTGTATATTTTAATGTTAGTTTTAATATGTTGAATCCTGTCTTTTGTATGCACCTGTAACTATTAGACTTTTTTGTTTTCTGAAAGTCGTGTTGTGGGATGGGATGTGCTTTTTTTGGATGTTGTTGTGGAAAATGATGTTAAATAAAGTTTAAAAAATCTTCATCATGCTTTTACAACAATTCCGTTAAGGTATAATGGTGACAGGAAGTAGCTGCATTTCTTTAAGCCCTTGTCACATTGTCCCGAAATTGATGAAAATAGCCTCTCTCACATGTAAAGCCCCTGAGAGAAGCTATTTTCATCCGTTGTCCCTGGACACATTTTGTACAGTCAGTTAAAAAAAAAATTTTTTTTATAATAACAAGTTAATAACGATTAAACAAAAAGTACATATTAAAAATCAAGACAGACAGCTACAGGTTAAAGCAGTACAGACAGACAGAGAGCTCTACAGTGAAATAGATCAACTGAATCTGGCTTGTTCTCTTATTGTTGCTGGAATTGAGTGCAATAGTTATGCAACTTTAAAAGAAAATAAAGATTGACCAAAATAACTTTTCCAGAGCAGAAATATACAATCTCCTCTTAACCTGTATGCATTTCTGTTCATTTCATGTTTAATTATGTTTTACCCAGCTCAACAAATTGTATTCTATAAATGTTGGGCAGTGATGAGGATGCGTAGATCATAGATGAGAAACGGGCCATGATGACTTACTTCCCCTTGATCCACTTGATGGTGGGAGGAGGGTCTCCAACAGCCTTGCACGGTAAAACAATGTCCTTCATCCAGGGAGTGGTCACTGTCCCGTTGAAGGTCAGAATCCTGGCTGGAGCTAAAACACACACAGAAACACACACATGACTTTGGGGACCTTGATACCAAGACAGGTTTTGAATTATGTATTTATACCTCAATGACAATACATATTTAAAGACTCATTAGCATCATCTTTTTGAGTAGGTTACTGCTAACCTTTCTACACTTAATACCCACAAACTAAACTAAACACATATTTGGAGAGTTTAGCTGCAAGAAAAGCAACCACAAGGAAATGGCTGAAACCAGACATGAAGCTCAGCGCAAGTTCAACCAGGAAGACCGTCTTTACTAATCCATTTACTATTTCTATGTTACTACTCTCTCTCCTCTCAATAAGTGATCGGGGGCGTCACTCCCCAGCTTAACCAATCACTTCACTCTATTCTCACAAGCCTATCATAGCGCTCTAAACCTTTTAAATCTGCTCTCCCCCCTCCGACAGCTGTCATTTCAGGTGACTCGACGCAACCCTCCTCCACCCTTTTTCACCTCCCGTCCCTCTGAATGCTAAGCCACTCCCCTTCAGACCGACCCCAACTATTCATTCACCACCACCAGTGTCTAGACCCCGGGGGGTTTCATCGGATCGGTTCTCCCCTCCCGAATGATACTCCTGCACAACGGGGCCTAATCGCCAAAACTCCATTACATTAATTTGTGTATTCCTGGCAATAAATAATGTATTCTTACATCAAAACCATCTCTCCTGATTGAAATGCCATCAGGAGATGACTGGTATGATGTTATATATGGAATCTTTGTAATAGACGGAATCACTTTCTCCACGAGGCTTCAGGAGAATACATTTGAGGAAACTTGGAAAAAAGTGAAAGGGATATATTTTTCCAGACGTGGTTATCCTTTGTTTAAATATGCCTTGTAATCTCCAGCTGTATTTCCTTTCTGTTTAAACAGAAAACAACCCATTTCTTGTTTTTAAATGTTTTGCTTATTTGTTTTGTATGGATCACTAGATCAAGTTGTCGATTATGAAGACTGTAGTTTAAATACTACGTGACTCCAGCATTCATGCAGATTAGATGGAACAATGTCCATGACGGCCATTTTACGCCAGTGTTTGTCAAAATCTTTTCAATAATGTACAAGAAACTCCACTGTGCATAGTCCAATCCGCCCCTAATTTCTCATGCTTGATAACCCTGAGGACATCTACATAGCGATATTGAGTCATAGTCCTAGAGCCACGAACAGGAAGCCAGCCTCATGTGACAAACATTATACCATTTACATGAAACGTACATTAAGTGGTAAAAACTCGATAGACGGCAACAATATCAAAGGTTATTGTTGTGTTAAAGGTGGAGCACCTTTGGCCAGAGGCTCCACGGTGATCTTGTCACTGTTGTTGCCATGACCAGCAGCCGTCACCGCCACCACCCAGATACTGTACTGTCTGTTTCGAGCCAGATTGGGGATCCTGTAGAAATATGCATCTGGAGACGCCTCAAACTCACTCATCACCTGTAAGAAAGACGGGGGAGGAGAGAATAATGTATCAGTGTGAGGCAGCAGGGAAGTCCAGAGGAATGACAAGTGGGCACAGATCCTTAGACTGGCTTTTAAAACCAGAATTTGAAACTAATCCCTGGTAATCTCTCAGTGTAAAACTGCTCTTACCATAGGATGCAGGTTGGAGCAGAAGACGATGTATTTCCTGATGATGCCGTTGAGTTTGAGCGGAGGCAGCCAGGAGACAAACACCACGGAGCCGCTGGCGGCCGCGGCCTTCACCCCCGCTGGAGGACCGGGAACTGAGAGGAAGACACCAATTAATAACAAACAATTCCAAAAATGTCCAATCTGCATGATGAGTACTTACTAGTTTTGATACTTCAATTATACTTTGATGCTAAAACTTTTCTTCTTTTCCTTGATTAACATTTTGAATGCAGGACAACTCAAAACGTTTTAGTCGATGGAAGATCATTACATTTGAGTAAACTTTTATTCAAAATGTTTTCTCTCTTAAAATAATTCAGATGCAAATACAGGTATCTGAAATTGGAATCAAGGTGTTGAAATTCATAAAGCAACAATTCACTCATTTCACACTTTACTTGTGTAATGTGAGTGACGTGTGCAGATTCCCAGAATCCCAACTAATTCAACCAATGACAGGGATGCATTTTGACAGACAAGACGGACAATTGGGGGGAAATATCCTGCATTTTGAATGTCCGATAGTCCACCATTAACACCTTAGTCCTGTCTCGTCTCGTCAACGAAAACAAAATATACATTTCGTCATAGTTTTTATTATCCATCCATCCATCCATCTTCTTCCGCTTATCCGTGGTCGGGTCGCGGGGGTAGCAGTTCCAGCAGAGAGCCCCAAACTTTCTTTTCCCTGGCGACATCAACCAGCTCTGACTGGGGGATCCCAAGGCGCTCCCAGGCCAGCGAAGAGATATAATCCCTCCACCTGGTCCTAGGTCTACCCCTTGGTCTCTTCCCAGCTGGACGTGCCTGGAACACCTCCCTAGGGAGGCGCCCAGGTGGCATCCTAACTAGGTGCCCGAACCACCTCAACTGGCTCCTTTCGACGCGAAGGAGGAGCGGCTCAACTCCGAGTCCCTCCCTGATGACTGAACTTCTCACCTTATCCCTAAGGGAGACACCAGCCACCCTGCGGAGAAAACCCATCTCGGCCGCTTGTATCCGCGATCTCGTTTTTTATTATCAACAATCTATTTTTAGCTCGTCATCGTCTCGTCTTAGTCATGTAAAAAAGGTCGTGGACGAACATTTTCCGTCATAGTTTTCGTTGACGAAATGAACACTACACCACTGTGCTCTTACCATCCTCTTTGGTGCGGACGTAGATCTGTTCGCTGCGGACTCCGTCTCCGGCGTTGGTGAAGGCTAACACCTGGATGCTGTAGTTGGTGTACTTCTCCAACCCGTCCAGCTCCAGAGACGGCTGATTGGTCGTCACATTCCTGATCTCCCCAAGCTCTGAAACAGGAGAGGAGACGTGTTAATGACATAGGTATCACGATTTCTAAAATACTAAATCAAGAGTTAATCAAGAATTCAGTGTTAAACATCTTTTGGTTTCCTGTTGCAATCAATGTATAAATACTTGTTTGTAACCCTTAGATGCATAAGTGGGTATTTTTTGACCCGGTGAGGTGGTTTTCTTGAAGTATCTTTGTAAAAAAAAATGGTATCATTTCATATTCCAGCGATTCCTCAAAAAACATGTTTTTTTTATTTTAATTTTAATAAATTGTAGTTTTTGTATTTCTACCCCAAGCTTCCATACGTGGGTCAAAAATGACCCGCATGCATTTCCTACGGGAACCTTTGATTCTTATCACCTGTGGCTGTCAGGAATACATTCACTGTGGACCACACAGACTACATCTCAAGGGACACCTCTCAGGAAGACTATTTTACACAGCAAGATCTGAAACCTGTCAGTATAATAATAATAATACATTATATTTGTATAGGGCTTTTCAAGGACTCAAAATCGCTTTACAACATAAGGGAAGGTTAGGGTGGGGGGTATAGGACTATCAAACTTGATCAACCGGCATGGATTGATGGGGGGGGGGCTATGAGTAGACAAGAGGAGAAGAGATGAGTTTTGAAAAGGGACTGGAATGCTGCGAGGATCTCAGAATAGCGGAGATCTTTGCATCAATATGTTCAAAACGTTTTTTTTCAAAATGTAAAAAAAATGTCTAAAATTCTAAATAGTGAAAAATTAAATATAAAATATTTCTAGTGTGAACAAAAATATAATACTAAATATTATACAAGTAATTTTTCTTAACCAAAATGACAAAAATGGCATAAAAACACATATTATTCTAATACGGGTCCTTTTATGGAAGAGTGTAGGGTCCAGCCACTCTAAGTGCATCTAAGGGTTAAGATATGAAGCACTCCTCTTCCGAATCAGTTACAAAACCAACTAAAAAACACATTTTAAAGGAATTTATTTTTCATTATTGCTCTGATCCCTCTCCTCTGCTCCCCTGTGTCCTGTCACTCAGAGCTGGGCCTCACTGAGTTATTGCAGAGTGAATTATTGATGGAGAGAGAGCAGCCACACTGCAGCAGGGTTCACAATGCAGGGGGAAACACAGGAAGCACATATACAGTTTTCCTTCTGTGCAATGCAGACCTTCCTCTGTTGATCAGCATCAGAAACATCTTAACCTCTTATCCTTCCATTGTGGAAACAGTAGATGTTGTTCATCAAGTAAATACATTTAAATGTGGATCGAATATATAGAAGTGCAAATAAATGTGTGAAAATTACACTTAAATAATGAAAAGTCAGATAAACAGATAAACATAAATAGACTTTCTTTTAATTCATTTGACTGTAATTTGGGTTTTTATAGAATAGTAATGTACAGTGGTATATATTGTTGATTTTTTAAATATTTATATGTGTTGTTGTTCGTTATGTGTGTACCTGCATATTAGCTTAAATCTGGCATATATCATTTTGTCTTCTTTCGAGGTTAATGTATTTGTATGCATGGTCCCTGTTCAATAAAGACAATAATTCAATAGTTAAGAGGTGAATTTGCTTCAGTCGTCCCCTACTCAGATACAATGCTTTTGGTCATTTACCATGAAATTATTATTTATATTTCGCAAAATAATATGAAGGAAAAACACAAAAGGCAGCTTGAATAATGATACAAAATAAAGAGTTGCACCACCTCTCTTACTCACAACACCATTTAACAGTCTGGCAATACCACAGCTCCCCCTAGTGGAAGAACCACGACCAGCAACAGCAATAACAAACAAGCAGTAATGAGTAATGTAGATGTTGGATAAACTCACTAGCCATTTAACTATTCCAAAATGTATTTAAGAAATGTTTAACATGAATCATTATATAAGGTAAAAGTGGATAATGTCCAATTGAAAGGAAACTCAAGAGACGTTTTATGGGAAAGGGCAGCCCTTTATATCATATTTGAATTAATTGAAAGTCCTACCCCCGGACTAAGTCTATATGTCCCCCCTCTAGTTATTCATTTAGTTTTTTTTGTGTTTTTAATAAATTATTATAATGTTTTCATTTCATTTTGTGTTTTTTGTTCTTTATCATGTGAAATGTATCAGGATGTGTAAGCGATATAATTCTGTGAGTTTTCTTATATGTAACAAAAGAGGGGTAATAGTGCAATTTCCTGTAATAAGAAAACCAAAACCAGGAAATGTGAAAAATGGTTGGATTGTCTGTTAAATCTGCACTCCTTAATAAAGAAATAAAAAAATAGGAGGAAAAAAGTGGATAATGTCATGTTTTAATATATTAACTTTCAATATATACTATATTAGAAGTCAGGGTTGAGACTTAAATGAGGGTAAATGAGAGTGTTTGGTGAGTTGAGGTCCATACCTCCGTCGGGCAGGTTGGCCCAGTAGATGACTCTGTATCCCTGCAGGTTCCCGTTGAGATCGTCTCTGGATAGAGGCATCCAGGAGAGAGAGATCACCTCGGGGGCCTTCGCCACAGCCAGGACGTTTTCAGGGGAGCGAGAGGGAACTGTGAGAAAGGGGGGAGAAAGGGAGGATCTTAAAAGAGGCATGTGAATTAGAACAAGAGGGACTGTCTGTGCAGATACAATCATGTGGGCTATACCACAAATAACAAAATATATACCATCTGGAACAACTGTCAAGATACGCTCATCATTTTTTTTGTTGCACCACATCTAATGAAACACATCCTGTTATATGTTTTTATTGAGAGAAACAAATCTTAAAACAACCACAAAATACTGAAGTGGAAAGTGGTGTTTAATTCTAAGTTGTGGAATTATTGAGCGACAACTGCACTCCTAAACTTTCCAATAATTAGTATGAGTGTAAAGATGTGGATATATATGTCATTCAAACCCATTGAAGCAGGTACATTTAGCTTGAGATAATATAATACAATTTAAAAATGTTTCATGACAAAAAAACAAAAAGGGATGTTTTACATATATTTAAAAAATCCCCCTACATGTCATTTCTTAAATCTGTTTGTCTGATGTAATTTGACAAATGTCCACTAGAGGGCAGCCTTTCCAAAAGCATGTTGGAGCTAGAGCTAGAGCCATTGCATCAAAAAGGCGTATTTGGAAGAGATATGGTTCAAAGTAACAAATAAAAAACAGATATGTCATTTAATTATTGTACTACATGTAATAGTAGGAACTCGTAATAACTGAAAGCAACACCCAAATCAGGTGTGAGGTTGGGCAGTGTTTTAAATGTATTCACTTAAATCCCAACATGTGTACGTGTTTCTGTTTTGTACAATTTTGGTCTGAGATCAGTGTAATACTGAACAGCTGTAATTAACTGCCTCACAATCCCCCACCGCGCAGGAAAGTGTTTGCTTGTTAAGTGATCACAGACAGTGAGCAGGGAAGCCAGAGAAACAAGGAGGAGGTGTGCAACACAGGACAGAAGAGAGACACACGGTATTGGACCAGGGTTGGAGTCAGGCCGGTTCTACGGGGTTGCATAAGGGTGCATTGCACCCTCAGTTGAGTCGTTATGCACCCTCAGTTGAAAAAAGAAAGTGAAAAAAAAAAAGTGAAAAATATTACATGTACAATAACAATAATAATAATAGTAATAATAATAATAATAATAATAATAATAGTAATAATAATAATAATAATAATAATAATAATAGTAATAATAATAATAATAATAATAATAATAATAATAATAATAATAATAATAATAATAATAATAAGAAGATAGTTGAAATACATTTTTTTTAAATTGTGGTTAAATAACATTGTCTGCTGCATTTATTTGGTCAATTTAAACAGTAAGTAACGTTATTATGTCACGTGACCTGTGCCGCTGCACGTTCGTCATCTGCAAGGTGCTTACACAGCAGTCAATGATGGACATCAGAAAATGGTTAAAACAACCAGCCCTTATCGCCAGCAGTAACACTGCATCTACTGCAGGTAATAACAGTTCAGATCATGGGGACATTACGTTACCCGCGGCCACTGTCGTGGACACTAACGCCCGACTCGCCGGCTTTGCCCGCCTCGCCCACGGAGGCGGAGCAGCCGTCTTCGTTGCCCCAAACACCGCCACCCCTCAGCGGCCCACATGTGCCAGAGGACCTCGGCAAAACAGAGCCTGCACAGGTATATTTAAAAAAGTACCCAACTCGCCTGTACAGTGGGGTAAGGCGCTCATTTTGCAGCTCAAGGTTTCAAAACAGAGATTGGCTGGAATATTCATGAAACAAAGATGCCATCTTCTGCTCTGCATGTAGACATTTCAGTTCAAGTAAGTCAGATGCCTTCACCACAACTGGCTACTACAACTGGCGCCATGCTCTTATAGGCTACGTGATAAGGGACTGGGAAGGCATGAATCAAGCAAAGAGCACATAGATCTCTTAATGTTGCTCTCTAAATGCACCAGATTGATGCTTTTAACTTCAATATTTAAAAAATCTTCCCGGGGGAGCATGCCCCCGGACCCCCCTAGAGGAGGTGAGGACCCCCCTAGAGGGTGTTAGGTCCACCCAACACTTGTAAAAATAGCACTTTACCACTGCACCCTCTCTAATCTCAGATGCACCCTGAGTCATTGTGTTCTGGAACCGGGCCTGGTTGGAGTTGTTGGGTTGGAAAAGTCTGAGCGGACGGGACCTGCTGAGACGGAGACTTGGTTGTATATTTACCGTCCTCCAGGGTTTTGACGACGACCTGCTGAGAGGACGGCCCGGTGCCCGCTCTGTTGGCCGCCTGCACCACCACGCTGTACTGAGTGAACTTCTTCAGGTTGTCCAGCATGATGCTCTCCATGGTGTCTCCGCTGGTGTCCAGGCTGAGGATGGTGAACTGGTGGCTTCCCCCCGGGCTGTACTCCCTGTAGCCCACCTGGTAGCCGCGGATCACCCCGTTCTGAAGGTGCTTCTGTGGAGGCTGCAGGGCGAGGAAGAGGGGAGGAAAACTGAGCTTATTACTCGGTTTCACCTCAGTGGTGGAGACAAACTCACTAGTTTCCCTCCATCAGAAGAAACAGTGGAATAATTTTTGAAGTAAACACTAACAGGAACACAGTATGGGCTCTGCAGTGTGTAAAAACTGGTTAATGTAAAAGAAAATGTGAACAGACTTGGGCAGTTACAGAAAACCTCGATCAGTGCTGCCACCATTTTAAGTTACGTTGCTGTCACTGCAGTTCTAGACGTTTTTAGGGGAAGCATCGGTCAAATCATTTTACATATGTATTTCAGGGCTGTGCTTTACCTTCCAGGAAACTTTGATGCTCTGTGGGGAGGTGGGCTCCAGAAGGACATCCTGTGGGGGGCCGTCGGGAGCTGCAAATAAAGAACATTATTCAATATTACTGCACATTTTTCAAGTTTCACTTTTTCAGTCAAATACTTTAAAGATGTTCATACAGTATAGATAAGTACATACATAAACAGTGTAGCGGCTAAATCATAAAGAAATACAACAGAAAATGAACTGCAGGCACTGAGGCACCAGCTAGCACATCTTATGCAGGGAAGTGAACCAAAGTCCAGGTTAAAGGACTACTTCATTTACTTAAAGGTCACCTATCATGCTATTTTTAGGCAATAGCATAGGTCTCAGATATATAAAAATATATAAAAAACATGTCTATGAAGTGTTTTGCTCAAAATAGCAAACAGATCACACATTCTAGCCATGCCTCATATCCCTCTATTTCACTTCCTGTTTCAAAAGTGCTGATTTGGGGTATAAAGTTTTAAAAGGAGGGGGCTGAGCTCATGCAGGACCCGGCAGCTACTGTCTAAACTAAATACTGCGGTGATGAAACGCCATATCATGGATTATCAAGGATTCTTTCTGAAACAGTCTGGAGCTCAAAGGCTTTCTCTCTTGCCGGTTATACCACAAGGTGAGCTCCTTTTTATTTCCTGCTTCTTCACACACATGCTCTCCAGTACAGGTTAGCTCTGAGTGTTAGCGATACTAACTTCTGTTCTCTATTTACATAAATGATTTATGCTGATGACACTGTCATATATACATCCAAATCTGATTTTTCAAAAATTCAGATCTCTCTTCAATCGGATTTTAATATCTTACAGGACTGGCTATCACACAATAAACTACTGCTTAACTAGACAAAATCTTATACCATGGTCTTTGGTACCAGGCAGAAGCTCAAATCCAAACCTAATGTAGTAATAACATGTAAGGATGGCACTTCTCTGCATAAAGTTGATAGCTTTAAATATCTTGGTGTATGGCTAGACTCTGAACTTTCATTTAAACTACTACTACTGCATGTAATACAAAAAGTCAATTACGGAATCTGTGTTTTACACCGCTCTCGCAATTGTTTTGCGCTCAGTGTCCGAAAGAGAATTGCTTCTCAAATTATTCTTCCGATTATGGACTATTGTGATGTTGTCTACCAAAATGCACATAAATCAGATCTTGCTCCACTCAACATAGCCTACAATAGACTATGCAGATTTGTTCTTGGTTGTCCTTTTCGTACACATCACTGCACAATGTATAACCAACTTAAATGGCCTTCTTTAAATGTAAGAAGACACATGCATTGGCTTCAGCTGATATTTAAATGCATTTATCTTAACTATCCCCCTTATTTAAAGCAGTATTTCGTACCCTACTCGTCAAATCATCAAGATTTATTTCTCTGTCCCCTCTGCAAAGAAATGGATTGGCAGAAGAGCGTTCATTTTCAAAGCCCCAATAGACTGCATACTTTACCTGCTGCTATTAGATCTCTTGCATCATTGGGTTTATTTAAACATGCATTATCATCTCACTTTCAACTGGTCTGTATTTGTTATTAATGAAACTGATATTGATTAAACTGATTTGCTCGACTGTCTCTCAAATTGTAATGATTGTGTGCATTGCTTGAATTTTACTTAACAGACTGTATGTGGTTTGTCTTGTGTGTCATGTTGTTTATGTATGTCTGTAAGTTGTTGCTATTGTCGGGACCCCCTTGAAAACGAGATGGTGCATCTCAAGGGGTTTATCCCAATGAATAAACATTTCTATATATATATATATATAATGTAAACACCGACCATATTACGTCCAAAAGAGTCGGGCATTGATTCTGATAGCAACTTTCTGATAGGGCCGTGGGTGTAAAGCCAGCCTACATTTACGATATTGCGTCATATCAGATTTGGGTACGGAGGAAAAGAGAGAGGGTTTTATTTTCTGACGCTGCGTGAGTTCCCCGACACACCGGGGACACATGTTTATGTATACAAGACATCAAAAAGTGCATTTTGCATGATAGGAGACCTTTAAATAATATTTCTAAATCAATAAACATTTACTTTAAACAAAAACAGCTTTAGATTTTAGATACACACGAAGTGCACAGGTCCTCTCTAAATGGAAGAGATGATCATTTCTATCCCGTTCACTAGATGGAGCTGTTGCTTTGCTAATGGATTTTCCTCCATGCTCTTTTTCTTTCAAGTGTCTTTACATCTCAACTAAATGTTCATTTAAAAGAATAAAATAAAGTGTAACATCATCAACTTTAACCTTTGAAATAATGTGAGGAATGACACATGTTTTATTTAATTTGAAGTTTACGACTCTATTTTAGCGATGAATCCAGTAAGATGGGGCGTTTTAATGTGCTGGTATGCCTGTGGGGGGGGAGGGGGGGGTCATTAGAGGCAATAGAGGATAAGTGAACACTGATGGAGCCGACTAAAAGCAACAGAGAACTGATCTGTTTCCCCAGATAGAAAAAATGATGGCTCCATTTCAAACCACCATAAAATAATGATGTGTTAGATGGCTCAACAGGTTTGAGGGCCAGGAGGAAATGGACACGAAACCAGCATTCAGACAGGAAGTCAATTCTCTTTAGAGAATTAAAATAAATTATAGTGACAGTTCAAAGTTAATATTAGCCAAATTACCATTTAAGAGTGATTTGGAGAAAAAGAGTAATTATTTTTATTTGGAGAAAAAATTAGTCCAATTGCAAAGTAGTTCAAGTACATACATGAAATAATAATAAATATAATAATTATAATAATAATTCATAAGTATCGTTTTTACATGTGTTTTAATGATTTTTACATGTTTTTACTGGCACATTAAGAACCTTTATTAGAAGTGCTCTGTTATTAAAATGTATAATTATAATTATTATGTATTTATTATACTTATCATTATTAAGATTATTATTATCATCAATATTATTATTTTATTTAGTATTAATATTTTTTACAAGTGTAATTTTTATTGTGAATGTTTATAATAATAATGGTTGTAATAGTAATAATAACACCTTTAATTCATATAATAATAATAACAATAATAAAACACTTAAAGGTAGAGTAGGTAAGAATGGAGAAACCAGCTGGAGTGCGCTAGAATTTGAAAGTACGCAGCCGAAAAAAATCTGCCCCTTCCTTCAGACTTCCTTACAGAGCCCCTCCTAAGCAAAATACAAAGATGCAATGAAATGAATATAGAGAAAATACACTATCAGGGTATCTGCAGGAATCCTGAAGACAAATGTAAAACCTTTTAAGACCTTTTTCAAGACCCTTTCCATACATTTTAAGACCTCATCGCAACTTCGAGTTCTAACCGGTTATATTGGCGACACACTTTACCTCACATTTACTATATTGATTGTAAGATAGCACAACTAAACAGAGTGCAGACAGACTACTGAAGCCTCCTCTCCACTTGAACTTCAACCTCTCTGTGAAGGTCAGGTTTAATGCAGTATGCTGCTTTGTTGCTTCTGTACTCTGTGCTCTTTCATTCCAGTAGAACTCCTCAGAAACCAGTAGAAACCAGTATTTGACCAATAAACGAAACAATTGACAAAACTTTGAACTATGAAATATATTAAACTTTGGTGAGCTTCAGCGGGGTAATGCCATATAGGAGCTCCCTCACAAATACCCAGGGGTTAAATTGGGCTGGGGCTGTCCGGGGCTAAGCCCGGCACATAGGACGATGCTCTGACGTCATCGCCCTCACACATTTGTCATATGTTTACAAAAAACGATATATATGTTAAGACTTTTCTCGTTCTAAATATAGACTATATTTAGGGTCGATATGTCCTTATGGACCTTACTTTAAAATAGCAGATCTCTGTGACCGGATATAGTTTGGCAACTTTGGCTTAGACCCCGGCCCCACGAGGACGCATACAGTAAAACGCATACGCAAACGCAAAAAAGTCTTCCGTTCACGCGTGTTCTCCTGCTGTATATCTCTCAGGTAGTCCACCAGCAGATAAACCCCCCCCCCCCCCCCCCCCACATAATGGAGCAAGGCAACGAAACTTAAAATAAGAAGCAGCATTGTATGGCACGCTATGCATGGGGCCACCTTGAGGGGGTTTCCTGACATGTTGTTTCAGTAAATTAAAGGGTGTTTCATGTTGTCGTTGCTGTGGACCTTCTTAATACCTTGGAACATGCCGTTTAATACTTTTTAATAGCCTTAATTTTCGCTAAATTGATTTATCAACTTTTAATACTTTTTAAGACCCCGCGGACACCCTGACTAACACGTAACACCTACGTCTGACTAGTGACGTAACACCTACGTCACTTCCGTGCGAAAATTACGTCCCCGCCCACTTTTGGGGGGAAAACAACGCTGTCATTTGAATGGCGGTCAATACAAATTCTGAGGTTTTTGCCAATCCGATCAGAAATGTAAGAAAACCGTGTATTTTTGGATCTTCAAAGAGCCCGATTACAATGGCCTCAGGCAAACAAATACATTAAATCATTTGAAATCGACGATCGGGCTCGGTATATTATTATTATACCGCCATTCAAATGACAGCTTTGTTTTCCCCCAAAAGTGGGCGGAGCCGTCATTTTTGCCCGGAAGTGACGCATGTGTTACTCTCATGTATAGAGCAGAAAGCAGTACGTTACTACCTCTCTAAAACAGTTTAACATGTCATGTGACAGCTACCTGCTTCATCAGTGGTGATGGTGAGCTCGTTGCTGGGGTTACTGTTGCCGATGATGTTCTTGGCGACCATGCGGATGTTGTAGGTGGACGAAGGGTGGAGGTCGATGATTGTGGCCTGGTTGAGCTGAGGGGAAACATCTTTGGTAACCTGGGCTGATAGCCATGACGCTGGAGGAGAGAGAGGGGGGGAACAGACTGTTAGGAACACAGAGTCATGTTTCAAGAATTTAATTACATTAATTCTCGTTTCAGCAGAGGTAGAAAGCTTTTATTATTAGCAATAATACTGTGTTAAAATACATATATAAATATAGATACAACTATTTGTTCTTATGTTTATATAAATATCTTTATTTGATCTTTTTTGAGTAACTGCCAAAGAACCCAATTTTAATATCTTGATTTTACCTTTTGATAACACATTAATACATTAACACATTGATAACACATAAGGTTATTATGTTCATCTAAATATATTTATTTGATATTTTTATCACATGCTATTATTAGGGATGGGAACGATTAATCGAATATTCGAAATTATTCAGGTATTCGAATATGAGAATATGAGAAATGAATATTTTTTCTTTTTTTTTCTTTTTGGGAGGGGTGCCTAAGTTGATTACATATTATCAAATGGAATAATTCAATGTATACGACAGTGCCATAGCTAAATGTGTTAGGTCTAAAGGTGTGTTTTGCTCTGCTCACTGGTCCCTCACAGCGGGCAGAGCTGCAGGTGCTGATCTCTCTCTCTCGCGTCCGGTTATACTTCACTCGCGTTTATGTCCAAATCCATCAGATCTAGCTAGTTCTAGCCAATGATATGGCTGCTGTCCCTCCCTACACGCAGATCACGCAGACTCAAAGCTCATCTTATGCCCAAATTCCAGCTGACAGGGTCTTCTCTACAGCTGACCTAATTGTGAAACGCCTCCGCACCCGCCTCTCCCCTGAGTAGACATGCTCATATTCTTAAACAAGAATGAGTATTGAATAGCTGCATTCTGTGCATAGGCCCTTTTTTTATCAGATACAGTGGGGCAAACAAGTATTTAGTCAGCCACCAATTGTGCAAGTTCTCCCACTTAAAAAGATGAGAGAGGCCTGTAATTTTCATCTTAGGTACACTTCAACTATGAGAGACAGAATGGGGGGAAAGAATCCAGGAAATCACATTGTAGGATTTTTAATTAATGAATTGGTAAATCCCTCGGTAAAATAAGTATTTGGTCACCTACAAACAAACAAGATTTCTGGCTCTCACAGACCTGTAACTTCTTCTTTAAGAGCCTCCTCTGTTCTCCACTTGTTAACTGTATTAATGGCACCTGTTTGAACTCGTTATCAGTATAAAAGACACCTGTCCACAACCTCAAACAGTCACACTCCAAACTCCACTATGGTCAAGACCAAAGAGCTGTCAAAGGACACCAGAAACAAAATTGTAGACCTGCACCAGGCTGGGAAGACTGAATCTGCAATAGGTAAGCAGCTTGGTGTGAAGAAATCAACTGTGGGAGCAATTATTAGAAAATGGAAGACATACAAGACCACTGATAATCTCCCTCGATCTGGGGCTCCACGCAAGATCTAACCCCGTGGGGTCAAAATGATCACAAGAACGGTGAGCAAAGATCCCAGAACCACACGGGGGGACCTAGTCAATGACCTGCAGAGAGCTGGGACCAAAGTAACAAAGGCTACCATCAGTAACACACTACGCCGCCAGGGACTCAAATCCTGCAGTGCCAGACGTGTCCCCCTGCTTAAGCCAGTACATGTCCAGGCCCGTCTGAAGTTTGCTGGAGAGCATTTAGATGATCCAGAAGAGGATTGGGAGAATGTCATATGGTCAGATGAAACCAAAATAGAACTTTTTGGCAAAAACTCAACTAGACGTGTTTGGAGGAGAAAGAATGCTGAGTTGCATCCAAAGAACACCATACCTACTGTGAAACATGGGGGTGGAAACATCATGCTTTGGGGATGTTTTTCTGCAAAGGGACCAGGACGACTGATCCGTGTAAAGGAAAGAATGAATGGGGCCATGTATCGTGAGATTTTGAGTGACAACCTCCTTCCATCAGCAAGGGCATTGAAGATTAAACGTGGCTGGATCTTTCAGCATGACAATGATCCCAAACACACCGCCCGGGCAACGAAGGAGTGGCTTCGTTAGAAGCATTTCAAGGTCCTGGAGTGGCCTAGCCAGTCTCCAGATCTCAACCCCATAGAAAATCTTTGGGAGGGAGTTGAAAGTCCGTTGCCCAGCGACAGCCCCAAAACATCACTGCTCTAGAGGAGATCTGCATGGAGGAATGGGCCAAAATACCAGCAACAGTGTGTGAAAACCTTGTGAAGACTTACAGAAAACGTTTGACCTCTGTCATTGCCAACAAAGGGTATATAGTTGTGTGATTACAGTTGTGTGATTACTTAAAAAACAATGATTTATTTGAAGCTTTTCAGTCTGGCTTTAGAACACATCATAGCACAGAGACAGCTCTGGTTAAAGTCACAAATGACATTCTAATAGCCTCTGACAAGGGACGTGTCTCTATTCTTGTTTTGCTCGATCTCAGTGCTGCATTTTATACTATCGACCATGATATCTTATTGCAAAGACTAGAGCACTTAGTTGGCATACAGGGAACTGCTTTAGACTGGTTTAGGTCCTATCTATCTGAACGCTCTCAGTTTGTACGTGTCAATGATGAATCTTCCACGCAAACCAAAGTTAGCCATGGAGTGCCACAGGGCTCAGTGCTCGGACCTATTTTGTTCACATTATATATGCTTCCGTTAGGCAATATTATAAGGAATCATTCTGTAAACTTTCATTGTTATGCGGATGATACTCAACTATATTCATCAATCAAGCCTGATGAAATTAATCATCTAAATAAAATTCAAGACTGCCTTAAGGACTTAAAAACGTGGATGACCTTAAACTTTTTGATGTTAAACACGACCAAAACTGAAGTTATTGTACTTGGCCCGAAGAATCTACGAAACAAATTATCTAAGGATATATTAACTATGGATGGCATTAATTTGGCCTCCAGTGAGACTGTAAGGAATCTTGGTGTTATATTTGATCAGGATTTATCCTTTAACGCCCACATAAAATCAATTTCAAGGACCGCCTACTTCCATCTACGTAACATTGCAAAAATCAGGCATATCTTGCCTCAAAACGATGCAGAGAAACTAGTCCATGCATTTGTTACTTCAAGGCTGGATTATTGTAACTCTTTATTATCAGGGTGTACCAAGAAGTCAGTCAAGTCGCTTCAGCTGATTCAAAATGCTGCGGCTCGTGTACTAACCAGAGTTAGGAAAAGGGACCACATTACTCCTGTTCTGGCTGCCTTACACTGGCTCCCTATAGAACACAGGATAGAATTTAAAATTCTTCTTCTCGCCTACAAAGCCCTTAATGGGCAGGCGCCATCTTACCTTAAAGAACTCATTATACCCTACTGTCCTACTAGGGCATTGCGTTCCAAGAATGCAGGGTTGTTGGTTGTTCCTAGAGTCTCTAAAAGTACAATGGGAGCCAGAGCCTTTTCTTATCAAGCTCCACATTTGTGGAATCAGCTTCCAGTTTGTGTTCGGGCGGCAGACACCCTATCCGTTTTTAAGAGTGCGCTTAAGACCTTCCTTTTTGATAAAGCTTATAGTTAGGGCTGATTAGATCCAGCCCCTAGTTTTGCTGATATAGGCTTAGTTTGTCGGGGGACATCTTACTTCTTCCTTCTCTCTGTCTATACCTGTGTACTCTCATGTTCCGATTAACCCAGCTTCCCCAAATGTCTTTCTTTTTGGTGTCTATATACGCCGGGATCCGGAGTCATGGATGATCCTGCGCTCCTCTGTCCTGGATCGCGAGCCCTGGATCTTGAGTCGTGGCTGTGGTCCTGGATCATAGGTCCTGGATGGATATCCTCGTGGATTCATCTTCCTATTATACACACATGCATTTCCAAACATTTGGACTACCTATGTTGCAAATGTATTATCTTTTCAATTTACACACGGCATCTATTGCACGTCTGTCCGTTCTGGGAGAGGGATCCCTCCTCTGTTGCTCTCCCTGAGGTTTCTCCCATTTTTCCCTTTAAACTGTGGGTTTTCTCCGGAAGTTTTTCCTTGTACGATGTGAAGGTCTAAGGACAGAGGGTGTCGTATTGTCATACTGATATTTTGTACAAACTGTAAAGTCCACTGAGACAAATGTAACATTTGTGATATTGGGCTATATAAATAAACATTGATTGATTGATTGATTGATATAACAAAGTATTGAGATAAACTTTTGTTATTGACCAAATACTTATTTTCCACCATAATTTGCAAATAAATTCTTTAAAATGTGATTTTCTCATTCTGTCTCTCATAGTTGAGGTTTACCTAGGATGAAAATGACAGGCCTCTCTCATCTTTTTAAGTGGGAGAACTTGCACAATTGGTGGCTGACTAAATACTTTTTTGCCCCACTGTATGTACATTTCGGTTAATCGGTTAACCGTTTTTTTGGGGGTCGAATATTTTCGAATATACATTTGCTTTCAAATTCCCATCCCTAGTTCTTACTGACTTTTTGTGTACAAATGTTTCTTTTTCTTTATCTTGTATTGTTTATTTTAATTAGTTCTTACACTGAGCAACTGCCCAATTTCCTCCCCGAGATAAATATTCAGTTTTGATTAGTGCTGTCAAAATTATCGCGTTAACGGCGGTAATTAATTTTTTGAATTAATTGCGTTAAAATATTTAACGCATTTAACGCATGTGCAGAATGGCCCGCCCCATACGTGCCACCAGTGGCAGCGCCAGGATATGGCTGGGGTAGGCTACACCCATACCAAGAAATGGCTTAGCCCCACCATGAAAAATAAAGTCTGCCAACTCGCGCGGAGTAAATTGCACAGACAGCAGTTAGTAAGATTGATTTCAGTCGCCACGGTTTTGAAAACTTTTGTCACGTGGTGATCGTCTTCTCAATAGAACATCTTTGATAATGTCTTCTGGCCAATCAGAATCAAGATAACGGTGTGGTGTTGTTGCAGGAAGTCCCGACGGAGAATACTTTTGCTGTAGTACGGGGTGCACATAACTGGTACGCAGGTTATGTGCGTAATCTGAAATGCGTACCGTCACTTGTGTCACAAAGCGCATTTGCGTACCGACGTACTTGTGAAGCTTTTCCAGAAGGCGGTTAGATCACCGGACGACAGAGTCGGTCTCCGTGTGCACAGACAGGGCTGCTGTTAACGTCGGTCTGTACAACGGAATTGTGCCAAAACTACGCCAACCGGCTGCGGAGGGAGACTCTCCCCCCCCCCCCCCCCTTCACTGGAGAACTGCGCTAAAACAGCTGATCACAACGTTCACACTCTGTGGTCACGAAGTACTCCACTAGCCGCCGCCCCCCCCCTCTGTCGACTTTCCTGAAGTACTCCCCCGTTGATAGAAATCAACACGTAATGAATTAAGACCCCACGGTTTGATGATTGATAGGTGTGTGGGTTGTCTTTCATTTTGACACGCAGAACAATGTTATAATAAACATAGATACTGTATGTTAAATGGATATATCCGCCTTCTTTCATTTATCTTTCAATTCCCACAACAATATACATAAAGAAATGGCATATTTTGGACATAGTTCGAATGGTGATTAATCATGATTAATTAATATTTAAGCTGTGATTAATCTGATTAAAAATTGTAATCGTTTGACAGCCCTAGTTTTGATTCTTATACTTCAGAATTTTCATCAAAGAACTGAACACTGTATGATTTCCTGAACCTGTGTGTACCTGATTTGTTCTTGCATTCGATATCATATCCTGTGATGGGGCTGTTCCCATCGAAGCCCATGGTCCAGCGCAGAGCGATGGTCCGGTCCTTCACCTCCCGGATCTCCACCTCCGGAGGGTCGGGGGCTTCTGCGGAGAACCGAGAACACAACATAGTTAAAGCAGCAGCGCTGAAACAGAACTGGACGACAGAGAGATGTATTGGCTTTGCTCTGTGTGGGATTTCCCCTGTGAACAATTACAGAGAGAGGGAGTCACCCTGTACAGCAGGGGTGTCAAACTCAAGGCCCGGGGGCCAAATCCGGCCCGTGACTTCATTTGATGTGGCCCACAAGAGTTTGCAAAGAATATAATATGTTTATTATACGGTTACATGCCGATTTACAGAAGCACGTTGCCCATAAACTACATGTCCCACAATGCATCTCAAATGTGACTTTTTTCTCAGAATGTGACTTTTTTTCTTCAAAATATGCCTTTTTTCTTAGAATTAGTCTTTTTCTCCGAATCTGACTTTTTTTTTTAAATGTTTTTTTTTTTTTTTAAATGTTACTATTTTTTTTTTTTTGTGGCTTTTTTTCCAGAATTTGGCTTTTCTTTTTAAATCATTTTGTGACATTCTCACTGAAGAGACTTGCAATTATTGGCCCTAGACTTCTGCTTTCAGACGTAGTTAATTATGAAGTTATTATTATTATTATTACCAGAGGAGACTGTGAAGTCCACCGTAGTAGACGGACCACTTTTGGACAAAATGTCCTCTCCGTTAAAGGCAGCTCTTTCTGGAATAGCCTCCCAACTGAGATACGGGATTGTCCCACTCTCAATAGTTTCAAAGGTCAACTCAAAGAATGGTTGAGAAACAACCAGACGTGCGATCACCGCTAAATGCACTTTAACACAGGGGCATCTCCTCTTGCACTTTATGCATCTCTTATGTCGTTGCTGCTACATTGTACTGCCATGTGGTAAATACTTGTATATGCTGCTCTTGCTCTTTTGCATATCATGTATTTATTTTTTGCTATGTTTATAAATGTCAGGTTCTTATACAGTATGTTGTATGTGAGGGACTACGGATGGAAATGAGCTCAAAGCTAAAATCCGGCATATTTACACTTGAAGCATTATTTATCTAAAGTGTTCATTAATGTGCATTGTCCCTATTCAAATAAACGATTAAATGAAATGAAATTACCCTATCCGATAATCATCCAATGCAGGGGCAATAATGTAATATAGTACATTATTTTATATATATTACATATTTATATCAGGGTTTCCGCTAGGATTTTTTCTCGCCGGTCAAATGTCCGAACAGAATTTATTTTACCGGACAAATTTGAAACTTACCGGTCATGTTTCAATAATAATAATAAGAATTGTGTAGCAGAGTTTCCGTTAGCAGGCAATTACCGGACTATGACCGGATATGCTGATGTTTAAAACTCAGTTAATGGGAGTCATTTTTATATTGCTTCAGTTTATAATCGTAACAGATCGAAAAATTCAGATTCATTTTTCAATAAATGATTCCACAAACAACAAACAACATAATTATTACATTCAAACAAACGACTTGTAGTAGCCTAGATAACGTACATTATTCAAAAGTTTACATTAACTTTGAATAATAACACGGGAGAAACGGATCCTCTCTTTTCCTCTCTCCCTCCCTCTCTCCTGACAGCCCGTCAGTTTCTCATGCAGCTCACTAAACAGTGGGCGGGGCTTCAGGTGATTATGGAGCAGCTGATCTGATCTCTCTCTCGTGTCCGGTTAAACTTCACTCGCGTTTATGTCCATATCGATCAGATCCCGCTCTCCTGATCGGCCTTTATAGAGAGCACCGATCAAACTATTAAGAGTGAATATCGGCCGATAATGATCGGCGGGCAATCGATCGGAGCATCGGACATTTTGACCGGCAGGTTTTTAATTTACCGGTTTTTATTACATTTTACCAGCTAAAAACCGGTAATTACCGGCTAACGGAAACCCTGATTTATATATGTATTTGTATATAGTCTTATATATAAAACTGGCCCTTTGAGTGCAACCATGATGCTAATGTGGCCTGAGATGAAATTGAGTTTGACACCCCTGCTGTACAGCAATTAGAAACATAAATGAATGAATTAAGTAATAAGCGCTTGAACATCTCTCTTCACCTGCAGGAAAAGTTCTTCCCGAGTGAAAAAGATATGAGCTAAGTGTTACCTTGCACTGTCAGCTGTATGATGCCTCGGTCCTCCCCGAAAGAGTTGATGGCGTGACAGGAGAAGAAACCTGAGTCCCCACGAACAGTTGGCATAATCTAAGAGGAGAAACAGAGGGGGGAAATTATGCTAAAAAAAGGCTTATCTTAAGGCTCATATTCCTTGCAATTTTACAAAATTGCTTTACACATGTACTCGTTCACACGCTGCGTTTTAATAACCATTAAACTGAACTGAGAGGGAGCTCTTTAATATTTTATACTCTACTTGAATATTTTAGGATTTTTTTTTTTACACGTTTTCCCTTAACTTCCTCTCTCTCTCTGCTTTCCATCTGAATAGACAACAGACATATGGACAGGCTGTGGGCTCCTTAAATGAGACAAAGGCTGCCCCCTTATAATAAGGAAAAAGTCCTCAGTCCTGCAACTGAAACCATTTTGTGAAGAAATACTAGGGCTGTGCAATTAATCGTATTTTTATCTCGATTTTGGCTTGCAACGATTACGAAATCAGCGTAATGGAAATAAAACGATTATTATTTTTATTTAAAAACATTTTTTAAATCTAATTATTTTTCAATAATTTTTTGTATTGGTTTTTCAGTTGAATTATACTTAAAGTTCAGGGTAATCAACTGTTAAAAACATACTGTTCACATTTTTTTTTAATGAAAGGATGTTTTCAAAGTAAATGGATCATCGTATTTAATAATCGTGATATCAATTATTGACCCAAATAATCGTGATTATGATTTTTGCCATAATCACACAGCCCTAAGAAATACTAGTAATATTAACGACTACTCAACGAATCGCCTGAATTGACGACTTCTGGTCTACTAGGAAAGTCTCAGATGAGGTTAGCCCTGAATGAGAGGGACAAACGTAGCTCACCACCAGCGTGGAGACGACCTCGTCGGCCACCTCCTTGACGGTGACCACGTATCGGCTGGTCTCCGGGTTGATGATGCGCTCTTCTTTCTCCCAGCGCACCATGATGGGTTTCTCCCCGTGAGCGATGCAGCTCATCTTCTTCTCCTCGCCCCGCGTCGCCAGGGTGGTGTTCGGGTAGGAGGTGATCATGGCCGGGACTGAAGAGAGAGGGGAGAGAAGGGAGAGAGAGAACATGTGGATGTTAGTTGAGGAACATCAAATATCACCTTTTTTTAACGATATACGATAAGCAGGGTTCATACACTTTTTCACCAATGATTTTCCATGACTTCTCCATGACCTTTTCCAGGTTTTTAATGACCGTAAGAACCCTGAATAATACTTTACGGTCGATCAAGTCTGAAATGTTTCTGCATCACAGCAGCTTCATTTGCAACATCAACAAGGACAAATATTAAGTTAAGATAAAAGGAAACAGACATTTAACAAACTATAAAAATCACTGAAGACAATATATATATATTTTTTTGTTTTTTGTATTGAGTCAGGCACAATGAGTTACATTTATACGGTCTATATTTTTTCTTTCCCCTCCTCCCGGTCCTAAATGTAAAAGATGATTTAAAAAAAATTAATAGATAAGGAAATAAAGAATAATAACAATAATACATGTGCCCATATACTCACATATGTATACCCACATATACACATACACATATATATATGTACCTACCTACACCCGTACCTACACATTTACATACACACATACATACACATACACGTACACATACAAAAAACAAAAAAACATACATTCATAGTCAGTGCCGATTCTAGAGTCTGTGGGGGACCTAGGCAAACATTCACTGGGGGCCCCTCGAACCAGCTTTTCATCACCACGCACAGCCGACAGCCCCCCGGAGCGGAGCAAGGCTCGCTATGCATGCGGCCGCCTTGAGGGGGTTTCCCGACATGTTGTTGCAGTAAATTAAAGGGTGTTTCATGTTGTCGTTGCTGTGGACCTTCTTAATCTATCTTCTTTGGGGGCCCCCTTCTGGTCCGGGACCCCAAGCAGTTGCCTGCCTTGCCTGTTCGCAAGCGGCGGCCCTGTTCATAGTCCCCCCTTTCTTCCTAACTTAGTGTCTTTAGTTCAGCTACATGTACGTAGGCTATCACAGAGCCCCAGACAGATTCAAACATTTCTGAAGAGCCCCTCAGGTTATATTTAATCTTCTCCAAGTTCAGGTATAACATTAGATCTTTAAGCCATAGAGATGCTTTAGGTGCTATTATCTTTAACACATGGGATTAAACTCTGCAATTCATTTTAGAATGCACAAAACAGTCTATGTTTCCCCTTTGGAGATAATTGCTTCTAACGTGCCCACAAGTGAATCCTTTTATTCCAAAACAAAAGGCAGTAACATGAAAGACACATATTCATCCATCCTGTCTTCTACTGAGGAAACTCCTTTACTCTTTTTTATCTGACAATTATGACGAGCATTGAAACACTCCAGGGATCATCGTGAACTCGTGTTTGAGTCTACGTGTCTCCCACAATCCAGGAACGCAGCGCTTCAGGTGAGAGCCTGCGCCTGCTTTGATAACGACAGCCAAACGGTAACGTGCTGCTTTGGAAGAAGAAAGGGGTGACTCCTCGCTGAACTCCCAACGGTCTGAGCGAGGAGCCCGTCTGGCTCTAACCGCACACCACGCTCATTAGCAGTGTGTGTGTGTGTGTGTGTGTGTGTGTGTGTGTGTGTGTGTGTGTGTGTGTGTGTGTGTGAATGCTTCTCACCCAGACTACTCACACTCACTGTTCTCGTACTCACACTTTTGTTTCATTCTGTCTTTTCTCTCTACTGGCACGAGGCGTTCAGGTGCGATTCACAGTCAAATGTCTAAAGTGTGAAACCTTCAAATTAACTTCTGCGGTTTGAAGTAGTCTTTATGAATATTATTTAATATGGAAATATAATACGAAGTGGAAGAGCTGTAATTTCCACTGGTCAGAAAAGGTCTGTATCATACTGTATATTTAATGTTCAAAAGAGAAACTCCCTCTTTATACTCCCTGGGATTATAGCCTTTGCAGACATTTGACATGCACACAAACACACTACAGGAAATGGAAAACCCCAAATAGCATAATAGGGCTCTTCAGGATGACACATTATTATACTAAATATCTTGGTTTCGTCGTAAATGTACATAGTTCTCCTGTCCTACATAAGTATTGATGTTGAGAGTTATCAGGTTACTCTAATACAGTATATGAACTGGTATTAGGTTACTGATTACAAAAGGTTTCCACATAACTAGTCATTGTAATGGAATACATGTTTAAAGTAGCCTTCCCAACCCTGCATTCAACCCTTATTTACATCAGAAAGGCTAATGTGTATGTGAAGGTCACCAGCGTATGTAAATATGTGCTGCACTGTGTCATTGAGAGAGGACAGCTCCATGTGCAGCAGAGGTCGGAGAACCCTCTCCTCCAGGAAAGAGATGTGTGTGTTTGAGTCCGTGAGTGCATGTCTGTACACTCCTGAATAATGTGCCTGTGTGTATGAGTGCTAGTGCATATGTATGAGTGTGTGTGTGCATGTGTCTGGGGGAGCTAAGTGGGCGTGCACAGAGAGCAGAAAGACTTGTGCTCATGACACATCTCAGCCGCGCTACACGACGGCGGAGAGAGGGAGAGCATGTTCCCCTGCAGCGCTAACTATGATCCCTCTGCCTCACCCCCCCCCCCACTCCATCTCCTCCTCAGGCTCCCACCAGGACAGCGATGATTTAATGATGAGAGAGACCACTTTGATTATTCATACGCACCAGACAAGTCCGCTGGCCGTGCTGTTGTCTCCCGCAGACACACACGCATTGGAAACATGTATAACCATGCACGAATAACCACAGATACACACGCAGAAATACACACAGGCCTTGCTTACTCAGTACAGTGTAGAAACGGAAACATACGGAAGAAATGGCACATACAAACAACTGAAAACACTATTTAAAAAATACACACATGCCTCCTCAAACACACACAGTATCCCTGCGGGTCAAAACAGTTTTTTGTGTATAACTTTGTACTCGTTTGTCTTTGTTCGTGCGAGGAGTGCCAGGAAGGTTAGACAATCACAAGTCAATTAAAGCACTTGAATTTATAATGAATCATTTATTACTCCGTACTTGTGTGAGTGGCAAATTACCCTGATGTGTTTAAACCTCGACCATTCTGCAGGCAGAGAAGTGATTCTGCGATGTCTTTATTATTTCAGTCATACATTTATATATAGAGCCAGAGTTTTTAAAGAGGTCCTATTTTGCTTTTTGTGGTTTTCCCTTCCCTGTAGTGCAGGGACTTGGATGGTGGTGGGGGCCACATCATGTATGTACTGGCCACCAGGGGGCCGCAGATTCACTTGGAACACACACACACATATTCCATGTATTGTATGTAATTATAAACAAATATAGTCTGACATCTTCATTGAAATGTTACAATCTTTCAGGGAACATCCTCTAATAAGCTCACTAAACAAATATCAGTTCACAGAAATGTTATTTCATTTTTACAAGTGGCATGTTTGTATTGAACAGGTTATTTAACGGTGGAATAAAAGTATTTTAAACTATTGGAAAGCACGGAAAATGTGTGTGCATCAAGATTAACCATTAAGATGAAATAAACATGAAGTCATGAACACTACCTGGACATTAGTTGTCTAACTTGAACCTAAGACACTTGTAGCCTGTCTCTGCTGACGCACAATAAGGGGAATGTCCACACAGACACCTGCCAACCCGGACTCTGCTGTTCCTCAGCGCCGCTCCCCCTCCCTCCCTCCCCCTGAAATGATGAATGAAAAGCGTATAGTAATCATAGATAACACGGCAGGGTCCGTGACAGTTTGTTTTCATCTGATTTCAAATAAACATAGTTTTGGTTTTTAGAATGTTAAACTTGTTTCGCCAAATTCAGATGATAAAAACCACTTTGAAGCTTAAAAGGCATCTTTACGAGCGGTAACTTAACGTCACAGCGGGCATAACCACAGCCGGTGTTTCTTGTGAGGGTTTCCCCCGGAAACAAACACAATACACACAAACGCGTCTCAGATTATTTTGCGGTATTTGGCTGCCGAACAAAATCATGTACGCAGCTCGCGACGTAACTAGGAGTCTAGTGGACGGTATCAGGCCGCCATTTGCCCATCCCTGCTGTAGTGAGTTATACAGGTTTTGGTGCATGTAAATGGTCTTCGAATACTCAAATCCCTGTGTTCCCTCCACACACTTCCAACAAATATGAACCTGAGAATGAGCAGAGTATGTCCTCTTTTAAGCTATGCAGTGCACGTCAATAGCATCCACCATCGCATACTAATGGAGCCTTGTGTAAGTGATTCTCTTAGCGCCACACTTGTCTTTTGCTATTAAGTCTCCTTCACACCTTCCTTGACCTTGTTCAGTTTTCCATCAAGGTCAAGTAAAAGTAGTTAGGAAAGATATCCTTCAGACCGCAGCATAGAGTCTTAAGCTACTCATGTTCTTGGGTACAGAGGTGCTTTGGGCTAGCACGCTCACAATTTCAATGCTAACATGATTCCTGTCTCTGGAATGAGTCTACCGGTACATCTGTGTTATCTAAAAATAACACCAGCCATGTAACTGTCGGTCTGTCATTTATATCCGAGTAGGCTACTGTAAATTGATATCAAGTTTAAGAGCGCTTGCACAGACACAAATCCCACACACCCTCCACACAAACAAATAAACACACAGGAGCAGACTTCTTCAACATGTTTCCGACTTTTTTTTTCTTCCAGAACATTTCCTTCTTTGATGAAGCCAACACAAATCTAAAAGGGGTGCTACTTGTGTGTGTCTGTGTGTTCGTGCACCCTCAACCCCCGCCCACCCCCGACATGATCAAATGTGTCAGGCCTGGGACTGCCAACGTTTAAACCTCATCTCTTATTCACTCGCAGCCCCTCCCTCTCCCTCGCTCCCCGCACCATCATCCCCTTTCCCACTGCCCCCGCGCAGGAAATCGCTGATTTATTTTGCATAGCAACTATGAATTTTAAGTGAGTGCTATTAAAAGGGGCTTCTCAGCCCCTTCTCTAAATGTTATTGCTCATTATCTGGGGCTATTTTCTCTGACTAAATCTGTGGCCTTGGCAGA